CCTCCTCCTCCTCCTCCTCTTCCGCCGCCGCCACCACCGCCTCTTCTTCTCCTGCCTCTTCTTCTGCTACCCCCCAGGAATACTGTCGTCACTGGTGCCAACACGGCACCTGCAAATGGGGCACCTTCTGCCGTCACAAGCACGCCATGCCCACCACGCTTGAGGGTCTCCTAGAAGTTGGACTATTTGAGATTCCCGCTTGGTGGATTTCTGCCACTGGGATTGGGATGTCTAGCAACAAGACGAAGCAAAATGCTGCCGCTGCTGTTGCTGCATCTCCCACTAATCCCGCTTGCGGCAACGGCGGTGGTACTAGTGGTGCTGGTAGTGGCGCTCCCCCTCCTCCCATCTCTTGCACCCCCATGACCCACGGTCACAACAACCTCCATCATCACATGCTCCCCGCCATTATGGGGACAGGAGCAGGAGTCGGAGTAGGAGCATCATCAGCAAAGAAACTCTCTAACCGCAAACTCAAAGCCCAACAACGAGAATTCAACCAACGCCTCCGTCTGCTTTCCTCCATGTTGATCCCACCCGGCTACGGCGGACCGCTTCGTCATCCTGCTGATGCATTGTTGATGCATGGGATGTCTGGAATGCCTGGATATGGCAGTAGTGCGGCGCCTGGTCCTGGCCAACATCAGCTGCTGCAACAACAGATTCAACAAATTCAACAGCATCAGCACCAGCAGCAAAAATTTGAGCGCGAACGCGAACGTGAACGCAAGGGAGAAAAGACTCCGCTGGATAGAAGTCACAAGAATGTCAAGGTTACGTTCAATGAAGATGGGACGGTGAGTCTTGTTACTGCTGGTGGTGGTTCCGCTGCCGCTGGTCAGGGTCAGGGACAGGCTGGTTCTGCTTCCACTTCCGGTCCTGCTGGTGTTGCTGCCGGTGCTTCATCGACAGATGTATCGAGTAGTACTACTGAGACGGGGAAGCCTTCTGCTTCTGCTGGCGATGGTGGTGGAGCGACTGACGAAACGGATAGGAGAAGGGAGAATGACACGAAGCCGGTAAAGGGCCTTGCAAACTCTATGCATGCTCCGAAGCAGCAGGATCAGCAGGGACAGGTGGTAGTCACGATTCCGCCGCCGGGCAACAACATGAGCAAGAAGGCTACCTGTGAGGATGAGAATGAGGGCGGCGGGAACGGGGCTGGGAGTAGTGCGGTGCAGCAGCTGGCTGATATCGTTCCGCTGTTGGTTGAGATCTAGTCATCTAGAGGAAAGAGGGAGTTCTGGTCATATCATGGGAATGTAATCGGAATTTGCTGCTGGGAAGAAATGTGAATGTGGTTAGAAAGATGTACTTGCTGTTGAATAGAGTTTGCGTTTGGGATACCTATGGACGACTTGTTCGTCGGAGACGGAAACGATGAAATATCGGATGTGTGTGTACAATTGAAGTCTCTGGGTACATATGAGCAAGGACAGCAAGAGTTGTATGGAAGAGTGAACTCAACAACACATGAATCCTGGGGTCAATCGATCAATGTTACACCTTGGAATCAATTCTGACATGTTCCCATCATATTGTCGTCTATCCCTCATCACCGGCCGACCGGCCGGCCGGACTCGGCGTTCGAAAATGTGCAAAACCAAAGCATCAGATGGGGTTCCGTCAGCTTACATATCATATCAGGCACCACTCTTTATATCCGGCTCGCACAGCATCAAACTGTTAGTGTAGACGTTGTGATGAATGACAATAGCTGACAATAGCGGGAAGCCGCGGTCTCCGGCTTATGTAAAGATAAAAGCCACTCGGGTTTTATACTGAGCGAGCCCCGGAGATAAGCAACGACGTCTCAGATCTTCAATTTCCAGAAACGGAAAGGTTCCTTGTGTGTAAGTCCGGGACGCGGCGGCGAGCCGAAAGTGTGAAAAAACGGGATCAAGGTTCTCCGGGCCCGCGGGGTTCAGACGTCATGGATCGAACGGTCGTGGGGCAGATATTCGGAGAATGGGTTCAAACTTGGGATCGGGTGTTATTTCTGGTTCGCGGTATCAAAGTAAACAGCCTGAAATCTTCCGAAGTCTGTAGTTCAAAAAGAACGCTTGAAGTCTGATAAAAACCATCGTGGGTGTGAAACATATAAAAAGCTGTCACCCTCATTGAAACTTGGAAAGACTTCATACTTACGCGCTTCACTCACAGCATCATCATTAACTCACCTCATCAAAGCACATTTCGGTATCATCCCTCAACCCCAAACTAAAGAGAACAACATGCCTCAACTCCTCGGAAAAGAAATCGGACCAACAGGTTTCGGCCTCATGGGTAAGTCTCGTTCACACACGCGCACACACACACACCCACTTCCTTCCAACGAAGCCCCCAATTAACAAATAAAAAACCCCAGGCTTCACCTGGCGCCCCAACCCCGTTCCCCAAGACCAAGCCTTCGCCACCCTCCGCGCCGCCCTCTCCCTGAGTCTCAACTTCTGGAACGGCGGCGAATTCTACGGCACGCCCAATTACAACAGTCCCATCCTTCTCGAGCGCTACTTTGCCCAATACCCCGAAGACGCCGACAAAGTCGTGCTTTCCATAAAGGGTTCCTGCGGTCCCGACGGGACGCACCCGGACGGCTCGGCGGCCGAAGTCCGGCGGTCGTTGGATTCCGTCATCAAACAGCTGAATGGACGGAAGAAGCTGGATATTTTCGAGTGTGCAAGGCGAGATCCCGAGGTGGATATGGCAGAGACGTTTGAGGTTATGCAGGAGTATATCGAGAAGGGGTTGTTGGGCGGGATTAGTTTGAGCGAGGTTAGCGCGGAGACCATTCATCAGGCCGTGAAGATACTGGGTAAGAAGGGAGTGGTGTGCGTCGAGGTGGAGTTGAGCTTGTTTGCGGCGGAGGTTTTGGAGAATGGGGTGGCGGCGGCTTGTAAGGAATATGGGATTCCTTTGGTGGCTTATAGTCCTTTGGGGAGGGGGGTGAGTTCTTGCTTTTCCTTTTTCTTTTCTTTGCGTCTGAGAGATCAAGAGGGAGAGGGATGGCGTGCTGACTATGATGCATACAGATCCTAACCGGCCAGGTCAAATCCCGTGATGACCTTTCCAAGTTCCCGTCCCGATGTTGCTTCACTTCCCCCGCTTCTCGGAGAACTTCGACATCAACCTCCAGCTCGTCCACCAGGTCGAGGAGATGGCCAAGAAGAAGGGTTGCACGCCGCGCAGCTGGCCATCTCGTGGACGCGTTGTCTGACGCGCCGTCCGGGCATGCCGAAAATCATCCCCATCCCCGGCGCCACGACGGTAGAGCGGGTCAATGAGAATGCCGTGCTCGTGGAGTTGACGGATCAAGAGATGGATGAGATCGATGCCACGCTGGCAAAGTTCGATGTCAAGGGTGCGAGGTATCCTGATTGGGTTCCTGTCAACACGTAAGAGCAGAGGCCGATAGGTCGAGGTATATGAACATATATCTCAAAACGACATGATGGAAGTGATGGGCAGAAGAGACAGAGTAGATGCGATTTCGACAGTTGCAGATAACGTAATCATATTCTATTTCTTCTATCTTGAAAACAGTATGAGGCACCAAGAGTGCGCGAGACCTGGTAAATTTGTTCATGTCAGCGACTAGTCTCAAGCATTTCTGTAATGTGAGAATGAATATATGGTGACATGGCGGTTCAGGGAAAAAGTGTAATGTGTTGATAGTCCACAGTGAGCCTCGGTTTTACCCGAGGGAACTTGAGAATTGCAGAATCCTTGGAAGAATCATTCATCATAATGCCGGGGGAAAAGGATGAGGATGGAGGAATGATCAACTTACATTAAAAAAAAAGAAGAGCAAAAGCCGGGTTACCAGAGGTGAATTGAGCAAGGAAAACCAACTTGGCTACTATAACTTTCCGGCGCGGAATGTAGCACGAGCTGGTGATCCAAGACGATGCTGCGGGTTGAGAACAGAAGGAAATGCCTGAAGTCTCTTCAATGTGCCTTTTTGATGCAGGCATATCTGGGCCCCACCTTACGTAAGCAGACTCGACTCGAATTGTTACAAGAGGGTTAGGGTTATGCACGTGTTGTTGACATTCAGGGGTGACCAGTTGAGCCAGCAAACACTTCCTACCAGACCAGGTACCCGGCAGACCCTCTGTTTAACGGGAGTTTATTCATCAGCCACTTTTCCTGTCACACACCGTGAGCTCAAAAGGCAGTCACTGCACCTGATTTGGTGATTAACAGAGTATGCTCTCCAATGTCTTCCACCCGCACACTAATAAATCAAGCGTCTAATTCTCCCATCTTACTGCTTCTGCGCTTCTTTCAGAGAATTCATATGCTCGGCCTTTTGCACCAGCTTCTTCACACTCTGCCATTCCTCATTCTTCAGGTCCTCCTTTCCACCCAGATCCGGACCAACTTCGAACATAGTGACCGTGCCGTCGATACCGCCAGTGGCCAATCTCTTGCCCTCAGTACGCTCCCACTTGACCTTGTTCAAGCTCTTACTCAGCATTGGTCGTCCATCCTTGCGTGGGCTAGGAGAAATGCGCGCAACGGGCTCCTCGGTCTCCACGGTAATGTCCCACAGTTCAAGCCAGCCAGCGCCGTCAACCAAGCTGAACACACCAGGCTTCACCGGTGACCAGGCCACATCGTAAACGACATCCTCGCGCACAAAGTCCATAAGTGGCTGAACGCCGTTATGTTCTTGACCCGGCACGTTGATACCGCCGCCCGTTGTCACAACCGTAGACGTTGCCGCAGGAGCGCGCGCCTTCCAGAGCTTGACGCTCCAATCCAAACTAGCAGACAGTACGAGATCGCCCAAGTCGACAACACCCCGTGCAGGATGGAAGTCGACTGCCATGACGGGAGCAGCATGGCCCCTGTAGCTGACGCGAGCATCAACGCCTGCCTTGGCACCGGCGCGGTCGTACCGATGGCACGGGTAGATGGATCCCTCTTCCGTTCCAACCAAGAAGAAAGTCGGGTCGGCCTGCGGGAATGCCATACATGTGGGACTCATGTCTTCAGTCCTGGATGGATGGGGGGCAATAAGTGTGAGGTTCTCTTGAGGCTGGGCGAGCATGTCAATGCTCCAGCCGCACATGTGGCCATCGGTCGAGCAAGAAATAATGTTGTTGGCGTTCTGCGTGCCAATAATATCGATACAGTAAACGGGATGTGTGTGTCCGGAACCGGTCAGGGGCGTCTTCTGTACAGGAGCTGACCTGGCGCGCGTATCCCAGAGCAGAACCTGTCCGCTGTAGCATCCGCCGATAATTAGGTTAGGGTGGAACGGAGAAAACTTGGCCGTCAAGATGTCGGATTGCGCATGGAACACAAACTCGGGCCTATCGTGCAAATGCATATTCCAGACCTGTACAATTCCATCTGGGTCGTGGGGTGCCGAAGGGTTCTTGGTGTACGATGCCAGAAGTAGTTCGCTGAACTTGGGCGAGAAGTCAATGGAGCTGATCATGCGCTTCTTGGACCACCTCTCATCGTAAAACTGGGCCAATTCCTTCACTTTCCGCCGGCCCTTTCCGCCCGTGTTCCCGTTCTGTTCGTCCTCTTCATCGACATCGTTTACTCCGAGGGTATAATCCGTCAAAATATCGTATTCCTGGTCGAGTGCCTTTTCGATGACCTTGGTCGACCTGTCGAGAAAGTCCATAAAATCGTCGGATTGCGTAACGGCGTTCAACTCTTCATCCGTGAGATTCCTCGTGGCAAAGTTCGCCGCAGCAGAGGGCTTGTACACTCCATCTGTGACAAGTTCCTTGGCCGCTTTCAACTCCTCTTCAATCTCCTTTCTTATGTTCTCGCGCAACTCTTCTTCGCGATCCCGTAACCTTCTGCTGATCCTGGTCTTAGTGGGTGATGCAGGCGGTTCGTCGATTTCCGAGTCCGAATATCTTCGGGCCTTGGGCTGGGGTGCCCACTCGTCTGTGGTCTGTACTCCTTTGCTGTACGTAAATACTTCCTTCACGGCGATGTGGGCATTCGGTAAACAGTCGTGAGAGTCGTCGAGAGGACCTGCGTGGTCTGGTTTGAAGAAGCGAGTATGGGTCCGAGAGCTGGAGTAGCATATTCCGAGGGCGAGATACTAGTTTCCCCGGCGCTTATTACGCTGTTGGGTCGGCTTCCATGGAGGCGGGGAGAATTTGCGCCGGTCGAGACGGATACGGGTCTGCTCTCGCCAACCAGGCTCTGGATCAGAGTTTCGATCTCACGACGGCTTTCTGCCCTACCGGGCGTCGGGCTAACTATCTAGAGAAAAGGGGATCAGCTTTGAAGCGAAGAGCAGGCGTCAAGCAAGAACTGGACTATCCACTCACATCGCTTGCGCTTCCTATGCTCAAGCGGGCATTAGCCTGAGTAGCACGGAGCTCTCGTTGCCGCTTCAGCTCGGCGAGCTTCGCCTTCTTAGCGAGGATCTCATCCCGACGTTGCTGCATCTTTGCGAATTCCACAACCCATTCCCTGACTAGACTGCTCTCTGAAGTGCCAAATCTTGCTGCCGGCGCAAGCCCTTGGGGGCACAACGCGGGTATCCAGCACCTGGCGATATATGGTAGGTTGTTCAAAGGGGACGCGACCCGTGGGGAGTAGAGCGAGCTTGGGAGGCTTTGTGGAAAGTTGAAGCAGATGTCGCGTCGGTCTGTGATGTGCAGGCGAAGTGGAACAATGGAAAGTGAAGAGGGGCAAAGCTGAGTTGCGACGTGGTGTTCTAGCAATGATAAGGCAAGGCAACTACTAGTCAAAAAGAGGGTTCAACCAGAATCAAAGCGGTGCTGTGTTCCAGACTTACGTCCAAGCGCGATGTCCTTTGGTTCCTCTGCGCGGTTGATCTAAAAGGAGGGGAGGTTGACCAAACAAAAGACAATGAATGGATGTTTCCATTTGGGGAACTGACCTTCCCGCCCGCCGCCGACGGGATTCAGCACACCTGGAGCACTCCAGCTGCGGGCAGTGGGCATCCTCTCCCTCTCCCGCTTCGAGGTCCCAACCTAACTTTCCTTCCGCCGACCGGGGTCCGCCTGCTGCGATGACACCGGTGGGGTGTTTCCCCCAACATCAATGCACGTGATCGCACACTGCTCCTTCGCGGTCGGGCTGTCTCTCCGGCTGTCAGGCAAAGAGGTCACGGACGGTGCCTGCCCCTTGGGCATGGGAGTGGGCTGAATCCCGCCGCGTGTGGTGAGCCGGGCCTGTCGTGTGTCGTCCCAAATCGATGCCGTTCAGTGGGTGTTCCCGCTATAGCGGGTAATGCTGTCAGGGCCAGTCAGCCGCTGTGCAGGGAAGCCCGCGTTGGCCGCCAACCCGCCGGAGCGAAGGCGTTCTTGCCGTAAAAACCGGTAAAAAACAGCCTTTCGCCGGGCTGGTGGTCGGGCTGTTGGTAAGATACAGTGGAACCGTGGGTAAGGAAAAACGATGGACGGTTACGGCTGCGAAAATTCCCGAAGCTCCAAAACTTCATTTCGCATCCTGAGCACCGACGTAAACGACTCTACCTTGGAACTTTCCACCCCCCTCAACGCTAAACGCTCGCAACTTTTCCCTCGCCCGACCCGACGACGCACCACCCGGGACCCAATTGACCTCCTCAATTGCCATCCACCGCACCCCGACCATCTTCGAGTCCACCTTTTAATTCCCCTTCCTCCGAACCCCCGAGCGCATCCGGCCTCGCCCAACACAAACTCGTCCAAAAATGTCGTCAACCGCTTCTAAGGCTGGATCCAACGTGAGTTACTTCATCGGCGCCGCCGCCGCCGCCGCCGCCGACACCACCACTACCACCACCACCACCACCACTACCATGATGCACCACCTGTCGGCTCTGTGACGAGAGGGGGGGCATCCTGTGCGCCTACTGGCTGCCCGTCTCGAAGACACCTCTCAGTCACCGTCGCGCATTCTTCGAAGCATCAGTTGGAGAGTCAGAAAGTGTTCGGAAGCTAAAATGGGATATCCCGCAGGTCCTCCGGTACTCGGCCCTCGGCGCCGGTATCTTCTACGGCTTCACTCACCAGAGGTCTATCAGCGCCGCTGAGAAGACCGCTGCTGCCCAGCGCGAGTACGAGCACAAGCAGGAGCTAATAAACAAGGCTAAGGAGGCCTACGCCAAGTCCAAGCAGCCCGTCTCCGCCGTCTCTGCTCCTAGCGGACGTGAGTTTATGCCCGATTTTTATATCTGATCTATGGTCCTCCCCGGGATCCGGTGGCCCGCGTTGTCACTACTCGCGACCAAAGCCGGTGGAAGGAGGTTCTAGGGGAAGAATGGACTTGCTAACCAGGTGCCCAACTCTGCCTCGAAGAAACAGTCAACCAGGACCCCATGAGCCCCAACTTCGATATCGAGGCCTACTTCAGCGCGCTTCTCGCCAAGGCCTAAATGGGGAAGCCGAGAGATAAAGTTGTGAACGAGGGACGCAATGGAACGAGTTCAAGATAGACGCGCTTCGCATCGCAGGGAGGCAATTATCAATGGGTTATTGGGTTTCAACGTCAAGGAAGAAAGGAGCAGGGAAATGAGAAATGCCAAACGATGAATGGTGTTTTAGGAAAAATAGAGGAGGGCGTTTGCTGATCACACACCACTCTCTCTCATTTCCTCCGCCGGTCCGAGGAGGGATGCCAACTGCTGCCTTGGGAAAACGAGAAACGGCCAAGAACGACGACAAAAACACTGGACACACACACAAGACAACCGCTTCGTCAACGAGATCCATTTACCCATTCCCTTACCCACCCCATCATCAACCCCGCAAAAATGCATGTGGATCAGTATGCCTTGTACACAAGACAAAGGGATCCCGTGTGAAGTTTCACCTGCTGCTTGTTCAAAAGACATCTCTCTATGATGAAGCTAAGCATGGTGTGTATTATTTCCCCAACCTACCTACCACATACATTTAAAAGAAAGACAGTTCACCCCGAGACATAGCGACGGCATAACAGCTCTCTTCTTTTTGTTTCTTTCTCTTCTATCAGACAGACGGACAGACCCTTTGTGTTTAGCCAGCCTGTACTTAGTGTACGTTACAGCAATTTAGAAGGGGGATATCAGGGTAAGATTAAAATTCATTGGAGTGCGATAACTGAGAGTTCCTGATAGCCTTTTCGTCCTGTCTTAATCCCCTTGATCAAGTATGTTGGAGCCTTAGTAGGATTGTCTACAAACAAGATAGAACGGTATATCTATAGCGGTAACCCTATGCACCTACCCCCTTTGCTGTGCTTTATAGCTGTTCCTTTCTTACATATATACACCACGTACTCTCTTCACTCCTCTCTTCACTCCTCTCTTCACTCTCGTTACTCGCGCATCCTATCCCTCCTACGCCCTTTCTAAGGTAGTTGCGAGACTGGACTTGACCAAGAAAAGAAAAGCACAGCCATAAATTTTTTTTCTCTTGCTAAATAATTTCATCCCTGACCTCAGCTACCAGAACTTTCAGTGCCTTCTGAAAAAAAAAAAAAAATCCATCACGTCGGTGTCCTAGAACCTTCGCCGGCCCTCTTTCTCCCTTCTCACTGCACTCTTCTGTCAGTTTGGCTTATCATTGAAATGTTGGATGGAAGGATAACTAAAGCTGTTGAGGTCCGTCCCAGCGAGCCAAAACTTTTTTTCTTCGTTTTTATGGCGACACGGATGCCCAGATTTCAAGTTGCTGGAAGACGTGTTTTTCTTCGAAGCTTAGGTTAGTTTCTACCCGTTGGTGGGAAAGAGAAAAAGTCTGCCAAGTATCACCGACAAAGAAAATCATGTCAGTGATGCTTAGTATCATTTCTCTGGGTGTTACACAAAGCCCCACGTTCAGTTACGTACGTATACCGCATAGCCCGTGTTCAGTCAAGGTTCTTCATTTGATGTTCGAGGGTTATCAAACTGCAATGCAAATTCTTGGCAGTTGTTCTTATTGATGTTACTGACAAAGTATACGATTCTAAATCAGACGCGCCACCCATTCATCCTCCATGACCTCCAACCAGTTTTGTAACCCTTCAACCTGTGACCCAGGAACATATAAACTCCTGATGTTGCGATCCCCGAACGTATAACATGGAAAAGCCATCCGAGGCAATGTTTGAAAAGAAGAGAGAAAACAAAACCAACACCATACTGTACGCCATGCTAGGAAGACAAGCGAACAAAAAGCAGTAACGCAAGGGAGGCCACGCAATTCCCCCTAAACACCCGACTGAATAGATCAAACCCAGATACGTGCCGCCTCACTCCTGAAGTCCTTCCCGAAGTCCGTGTCTTTTGGCTCGCCTGTCTTGACTGGCCACTCAAGCACCGGGGTGGGCAACTCGCTGAGATGAGTTTGTGGCTGTAGCCAGACGAAGCTCTGAAGTCGTGCGCCTGGTTCGCCGCGCCGTCGTGCCAAACTGCCTTGTCGGTAGTTGAGTGTCGTCGAAATAAGGCCCGAGGTACGTTCGCATCCGTGACCGTAGCACATTTCGATAACTAGGGGGCATCTCATGCCATCTTCCTTCGCGAACAGCGGCGATTATGTGAGGCGTGGGAATGTCGGAGTGGCGTGGTATTTCACCAGTCTCGAGAGCATTCTTCAGCCAATCCTCCAGTGGAATAGCCAGCATGCTATTCGGTACGACGCTTTGGTACCCAGTGTATGGGGACACTGTCGTTGGAGGGATCTCGTCTTCGTCGCTCATGGTCTCATCTTCGTCCTCGTCCTCCTTCATGCCCTCGTCTTCCTTCATAACCTCGTCTTCGTCTTTTTCCACAGCCTCCGGCGCAGCCTCCCCATAGAGCTCATAACCAAATTCAGGTTTGGTCCTGACCGGGTTTCGAAGATCAGGAAAGCCGTCGTCCGCAGTGTCTCGGATGACAATTCCCTGCTCCTCTTCGTACTTCTCCTTGGCCCATCTTGTGCCCTCCCACTTTGTCAGATTGGCAATCTCACATTCAGTCAAACGGAGAGCATCGAAGGCGCGGAAGAGCCGACGGTGCCACTGCCAGCGACTTAGGCGGATGCGGTGGATATGGTGGTTGTAGTCGAGGCCGGGATACTTGGCTTCTTGAGTGTCGATATGGCCATAATATGAATGTACCTCTTGTCGAACCTCGTAAATCAGATGTCGTTGGAGAAAGGCGGCAAAGCTCGAAGGGTCCGATGGCCGGGCCTTTGGGAACAGGTACCCATAGACCAGTTCGTCGATCGGAGGCTGCATCATCCTGGGCTGACTTGAAGGATCCTTCGTCACCCAGCGGCGCAACGTATTTTTGTGTTATCCGTGATTATAAGTGTTGATGCTTGAGCTACCTATGCTGTGGCGTGGTTTAGCAAATTTGATCTGGGACTGGTGGTGAAACTTCGGTTTAGCAATTTGGGGGAGGAAGACAAATATGGCTGGACTCTGAGGGAAGAAAGTTGGAGGAGAGTGGCGGTAGTGAAGCGGACGTGGTGTGACCGGGACCGGAGAAGCCGCATGGGTCAAGATTAGGGAGGCTCCAAGGACGTGGGATAGAATGTGGTTGCTATTCTGGACCGACACATGTAACTTTGTGTAAGTGAAATACGTACATTGGCTGATGACAATGGCCAGATGCCTGCAAGGTCTCGGCTTGTCACTTTCTGTCTGACTTCCAACGTGAACTTCCAGATTTTCCGGATTAACTGAATCGTTGGTGTCGCAAGACGTTCATATGGGGAAGGAAAAGGGCAAAAGAAAAGGAAGGGAGCAATAGGAGTGAAGTGCCGTGAGAAGGGGGACAGGGCAAATATTAATAACAGTTCCCCAACAGCACCCAAAGAAAGAAGACCGGAATGGCGACCGGCAGACCCTTGACCATCCTGGCCGGATCCATGCCGTGCCTGTGCTTTACATTGTATTGTAGGAATGTATAGTACAACAGCATGAGCGACCGGCGAATGCGGCCTCGAATGAGCGGGCAATGAGGTGGTGGAAGGAAGAAGTGGGAGTGGCCCATGAGAAAGGCCCAGTCTCGTACTTGCCCATCAGTCGAGAAACCCGAGAGAAAAAGCAGGTGTGATGTGGATGTCTCTGCCACCAAAGAGGTACATTGAGATCCCTGCCTTTGGCCCAAAGGATCACCAAAGAGGATGGAAGCCACTCAGGACAAAGGAGATAGGCGACAGCCTTTATGTGCCCACGGCGTTTATGAATGTGTGGTCGGGCAAAGGCTTGTTGTCGGGTATTTTATATTTCGCCGCCAACAGTCAACATATTGGAGTGAGAAGTGCCTGCCTCAGGAGGAATACTTTGAAGAAGCGATGAACTCGATGTTCCTGCTGTAGGAAACTGTGGATCTCTCACGACCAGCGGTCGGGAGTTCCATTGCATCCAGGGATTTGCATGACTGGACGGCCGGGGGCAGCTGGTGGAGATAAAAAGTGGAGACCCGCCCTCTGTTTGTTTAAGGTGCAATTTGAGGTGTTCGTCAATCGCCTCGAATTCACAAACCTCAACCAAGAAAGTCACTGGCATCAAAAGACCTCATGAATGCCGCCAACACTCATGACATCGGACATAGCCTGTACAGAGATAAAATATGACTGCAATCCCACGCTGGTAAGCTAGCCACTCTATCTGCTACCCATCATGTCGTCTGTCCATGCCCTGGTGAGCCTGGCTATTCTCGATGCTCAGGCTGGACGATAGAGGTGACAGATGATGGATGCCGCACAGCTGTTTTCCTCCCTTGACGAAGGCCGGAATTTCCACGGAAGCACGCGGCAACAACAGCGGAAGACTGACCGCAACAATCCGTCCGTTTATCCCGGATTGGTATGATACCGATAATATTGATATAAGGATTCTCCCCTCGAGGACATCTTGCTTACGAAAGCCTGGTTCGCACCTCAACGACACATCAAGTCATTGTCGTCAAGCGTCCTATCGGCCTCTGCTCTAGACGCCGAACGCGCCAGACACTTTCAAGCGAAGAAAGAAGGCCCAGGGAGCATGCGCTTTATTACCATGTGCTTTATTACCATGTCACCACATCATATTCCGGCTCGGGTACTGTTGGGGCATAGTCGACATCACCAACTCCGGGCAACCGAAAGCGGAAGCGGCAAGTCTTGTTGGTTGATATGGGCCTCAGTACCACTCATCCAAACGATGTGAAGAATGTCGCACACTTTCCCATATGTTGGGTTTGTTCAACATTGCTCTTGTGACATGTGGGCATTAGGGGCGCAACGTGTTGCACTGTCTCTACGCCAACTGGCTCTGTTCGCATCGGGTCGTCGGCGGTTGCGATACAGGAGGTGGACAAAAGACAGGAATAAAGAGCCTGGGCAACCCGATTCTTCCCAAGCACGGTATCTCTGGGCAAACAAGGCACCACAGTCCGCCCTGGCCAGAGCATTCACGAGAACATGCACTTGTTGGGTTGGTGGCTTTGCCGATTTTACTCGGTTTGCCGTTCCACAAACCACACAAGAAACATGTGTCGGGATCACATCCAAGCCATGGTGATGGGATCACACTATTTGCTCCGCGAGCCAACAGACCGTTCCTTCCCGGGGAATCGGAGGATTCTCAGACAACGCCGTCAATCAGCCCCAAGATGCCGGATGTTGGGGCGTGAGACGGACTATACCAGGCGCCTCTAACTAACCCCGCCACGAAGTACCACACGGCGCTTTCTCAACCTAGACCAACATCTTGGAATATCATGGACTGTGCACAGTCCCAAGCCCTCATCCAGGGAGCGATGTGTGTACACCAGGGATCTTTTCCGCTGTTCCTAACCGGGGAGAAGAACCAATAGCAGTCGTTAAAGCCTTCTTGGTATCCCAGCGGCTTGTTACCCCCAGTCATCTGTGGTAATCAGTCTCACTTATAACCCGAAGAAAGTCTTTAGTAACGTGTCTCGCGAACGAAGCTAAACCTCCAGTTCTTCGTCACGGTTCCGTATGTGATGATCTGGCATCTCGCCATCGGCCTAGCTCGACCTTCTTTATTCCCCATTTTCCAAGCGAATAGGCATCGATATACTGGAAATGGCCGTGCATTATACGGCCAGGCGGCCATATCTTGCGGCCCTCCCCCGTGGCAGCATCATCACCTCACGTCTTCATCTTTATCCTCACTTCTCAGCATTAAAGAGACAGTTGGTCACTTACACATCTGCAGCTATCCGGCCGCCAAAGCCCAACCCAAACGTACTGGCGAGGGCGAGGGCAACTGGGACCGTGACTCTTTTAACGTTCACTGGCTGCGATTTATTCTTGTTCTAGGTACGCAGTTCGGTACCCGACCGGCGGTGAATAGTCGCCAATCATCCCACTTTTCACGGCGGTCCCGGTTTTGGGCCGCATCCCTTTCCCTCTAATAACCCCCCCCCCCCCCCCCCCCCCCCCCAACTTCCTCCGGCCACGCCGACTTTTGAGCCGGCCGGCCGCCGTTACCGTGACCGCTTCCCTTTCCCCTCCTTTCCTTCCATTCGATCTCCCTAATTTGGGCGTTCTTTACCTAGCCCAACGGCCGGGACGGAAGAGGGCGACAACCCCTCCACAGAACGCTCAATGTAGTCCAATAATCCTGGATTGTCTATCTGGTGTAAAACCACCCTAATTGTCCACATGATGAGATTATCTATTCACCTGTTCCCTTCGTCTATCTTACCGCCTGTTTTCCATCGCGACCCACGATATAAGTCTCCTGAACCGGCTTTCGTCTCGCCCTTTGCTGCCTCCTTCCAGTTCCACCACCCACATTCTTACACACATGGAAAAGAAAGCGGACAGAGTCTTCGGCGGTCGCATACCTTTGACCCCCGCCTGCCCGCATGCTCGGAGGTTCTCATCCGCTCCGGCCAGGTCAGGTCGGGTCAGGTCAGGTTCAAGCCAGGCCAGGCCGGCTGGGATGAGAGCGACCGGCATTGTTTCTATGCACACGTGACCATTTGTTTTAATCTCATTTGTCTCCCTTCGCTGGCGGAAAAAATCTTGCTGCTGCCTGATGGTCATGATCTTTGATTCTTCTCATTTCTTTCTTACTTACGCTGGCCGAACGCAACAGTCGCTAACTTGAAGAAAAACAAGAAAAAAGGGAAGACAAAAGACAATGACTGAAAAAGTGACGGATGGGAACCTCAAAGGATCAATATCAGGATTAGATGCGACCAATGGCCATAGCCAACACTGCCACCACCAACAACACCAATATAACCACCAACGCAACCGCCACTGCCTAATACCAGTTACTCATTAATCATCACCTTCTTTCCATTCTTTCCTTTCTTTCTTCTTCTTCTTCTTCTTCCCGGGAAGCTATCTATTTATTGAACCAGTTCTTTTCATCATCAAAACGGAAACTCTTCAAGGTTGAGAGTCGGTCTGCATGGCCGCTGCGGAAGAGAGCCACTAGACCTGGAAGAGACGTTCAGATAGGCGTCGTTGGGTAGGTGATGCTGGTGTCGTTCATAAGTAAGCCATAAACGGCTCGTTGTTCCCGGACGATGGGGACAAGGCGGGAATAGCTGTAAAAAAAAAAAGTCGTCATTTTGATAACCTTAAGGTATTCATTTTGTTGACTCGCTAAACCGGAAAGAAGATAACTCAAGTAATTCTATCCCACATCCAAGATAATCGAATTAGGTATTTCCCATTCACACAAACCGAACCTTTTAATTGATTGTCCAGGTCCTATTCATCCCATTATTACACTCTCTCCTCGTGTCTCCCGTTGCGTATCCTGACATCCTGAAGATGTCATCTCATGTGTATCCAAACATCCACGTTTTGCCAATTCGGAAAAGCCCGAGACGATATCACCCATCCATCACCTATTACCGGTAAGGCGGGCTACTCAACCTCTCCCTGTGAATCGGCCGTTCCCTACTCCGCATATCATCTCTGCTCCCCCACCTCCCCTCCCTATCCCTATCTCTGCTGTCTCTATACCGATCACTTTCCCTCCCACTAAGCATCGACCCGCCAGCACCGCCGGTCCAATCCCTCCTATCAATATCCGCCCGACTGCCTGTCCTTCTCTCGAGGTCGGCTTGCGCCAGGTACGGGCTGGGACCAGGACCGCTGGCTTTGCGTGGTGCTCTGCCGCTGCGGCTACTGTGTGGTGAGAGGTCTAGATCGTCTTCGTCGTCGTGCCGCTCGCGGTGCTCGCGGTCGCGGTGCTCGCGGTCGCGGCGGAGGGTGCCGGTGGAAATGCCGCGGCTTCTTTCTCGGCGCGAGGTAGGTTCGTCGTCGTCTCTGTCTAGGTCACGGTACCGATCTCTGTCCCGGTCCCTGGTGCTTCGGTCTCGGACCCGGTTTCTCTCGTGGTCGCGATCTCTTTCTCTGTCTCTTTCTCGGTCGCGGTCGCGGTCGCGGGACTTCATCCGGATGTCTCTCTCCCTCTCCCTGTCGATGTCCCGCTGGTCCAATATCCTGCTCTCCTTGCTCAATCTCTTTGCTCTCCGCCGCCGCTCGACCTCGTCCTCCGACTCGGTCAGGTCCGATTCATCGTCCGAATACGACTTGCGTCTGGAGTTGCGGTACAGCTCCCTTGCGGCTCTGTCGGGTCCGGTTCCGCGGTCGTCCTTCTGACTCCGGGACCGGCTTCGTCGATCGTCGCCGATGGTGGAAACGCCTGGGAAAAGATTAGAGATCTTGTCTTTGATACCGGAGCCTATGCTCTTTCTCTTGGAGTCGTCGGTCCTTAGTGAAGAGGCCGTTGCTGGGATTACTGCGTATCGGGGGGATCCCTGCGCGACGAGTAACCGTGAGATCGTGGTGAGATGCTGCGCCCGCCTATGGGGGCGGCTCGGGAGGAGGGGACACCTTCGGGGTTGAAAACGCGATGGGATGTCACAGGGGGCGGCTCGCGCGAGTCTCGGCTGCTTCGGCTGTGATGGCGCCTTCCGGATCTGGAGGTTGCTGGTTCAATTTCTGCGTCGGACGAGGAAGGGCTGTTGTAGTGACGGGGTTGACTGTGCCGGCGAGGAACTGAAATTCGGTCGGTGCGAAGCGGGATCTGCATTGACTGAGTCTCCTGAGGGATGATGTGCGGGTAATCAGTGAAGCTGGGGCCTCGGCTGGTACGTTCTTCCTCTGGCGGGAAAGCCTTCCGTGGCGGGGCGTAGCGGCCTCGGCCAATATCAAGAGGGTCTGGGTCAATATCATGGCCTCTTTCACGCTCCGGTTCCCTAGGCCGCTCTGGGGATCTGCGAGGATCGTAGCGATCTGTCCGTGGTTCAGGGGGTCGAACGTAAGAAACAGGGACAGGGACGGAGCGTGTGTTGAAGTAATCATAATCCTGCGGTACGGATGGTTTGGGGCGGACGTGTGAGAATGGAACCTTGTCGTCGGGGAAAGCATTCGCTTTGGGGTCAACACTGGGTTCTTCTCTCGCTTCCTTCGCTTCCTCCCTGGTTGTCGCCTCAGCACGAAGTTTGGTCGCACAGCTTTGGTGCCACCGGTCGGTATCTTGATCGGTATCAGCGGGGAAAACTGTGGCTGGCAAGTCGTCTGGGAACACGCTCCCATACTCCGGATGCTTCAGGGCCCAGTTCTTGACCGCAAACTGAATGATCGGGACATGAACTTGTGGCTCTAGCAAGATCTGAATTGCCTGCCACCTCGCAAAGCCTTTAACAGTAAGTGCCGGAATCGAAGGGGCCGCAAAGTCGTCCTCGGTGGGCAAAAGCATATGTTGACATCCTTGAACTTGATAGATGAAGGAAATGGACTGAGGCGGCATGTTCACAAAGAGTCCTGCGTTGTCTGGTCAGCACAAAAGGGGCGCTGCTGACATGCCATGTCTTGACTCACTATCATAGTCATGGCCTGCAAGCTTGTAAAAAGCTGCCATCTTGGCAGGAGCTAAATGCTTCTCATCTTTATCTCCAATGTCATTGATCTACCTCAGGTTAGCGGTGAAGCCCAGAGCCGACGTGGAGGCAGAATAACATACAATGTGCAGAGCAAGAGCTCTTAAAAGCGCGTCAAGCAACGGCTTTGGTTTTGGTATCGGGATTTCGTCTGGTCTCGGGTCATCGTACATGTAGCCGTAGAAGATCTCCTTGGTCTTGCCATTGGTCTCGGGTGTTGGAGAAGCCATGGTGATGATGTCTGCCTCATGCCACCTTAGTTATGGAATAGAGGGGTCAAGGTTAGCCGTCGTAGACAAGGCAAAAGAGAGGCGACTTCGATGCTTGTTGTCGTCCTTGATGCACACGCCTGTCAGAGGCAAGTTGCTTGATGACAGGTTGAAAATTGCGGCAGTAAAGAGCTGAGTAGGATCATGTAACAGAGTCCGAAGCTGTTGGCTGCCAGGTTATGGCCAGGCTGATGCGGGTGCGCAGATATAAGGTACCGGCACTTATAGTATGACGGAGAGCCTGAGTAACGTGAGCCTGAGTGTTTTCTTGGGAAGCTGCATAAAACGACTGAGGCAGAGTGGCTCAACAACTTGTTCGTGGCTCCCGAAACGTAGACACACTCAGGTAGAAATATCGAATGGCCCAATTCCTATAGGCGAGGATGAATTAGGTAGGTCGGGCAACGACTGTGACAGCCTTGTCGTGGAATGTAATAACGATACGTAGAACGTTGAGTGAAGAAGGACTGCCAGTCGGGTTAGGTATCAGTCGGACAACCGGGGGGTCTCAACCACCGACAGGCACAGCGGCTCGGTTCTCGTTCGAGGTGAAGCAACGCCGCGAGACACAGGCCAGAACAGGACACAACCAACGAAAAGTGTTGGAAGCAAATATGTCTCCAGAGATGATGCTTCGAGAAAAGGGGGGAGGGATAGCCGGAGAGACGTCCACTCGGTTCGGCTTGGCGAGAAAGGGTGTGTGGTTGCTTATGACTGGAGCGGCGAGAGAGCACCAAGTGAGGATGCAGATGAAAGATGAGGGCAGCAGCAATATGTGAGCAGCAAGAAGGGTATGTAGCGAGCTAAGAAGCTGGTGATAGGCAGGTCTCAACAGGCTGACGGGTGAACGCTGGACACGTGCACCCCGCCGTTCTCAGATCAACTGTGCTCTGTGAGGTGACAGTGGTGCTTGTCTGACTCCAAGCCTCCAATGGCAGCTCCCAGGGACCAGGCAGAATCCGGTTCTCGAATTTCCAAGATTCTCGAAGTGAGAAGGCCACCTTAGAACCCTCCTGATTCCACCACGACCCCAAGACCCTGCGTTTGTCGTCAACTCGACGAAATTGGGTGTTTTCCAGCCTCCTTGAAGATCTCGCGCGTCGGTCCAACTTTGGCCAAGGATATCACGGTCCTGAACAAGGCGAAGCGATCAGCTCACACCCATCGGGCAATCGACAATTCTCTTGGAGAAGAGCCAAGACAAGCGGGACAGGAACCCGACATGACTCTGTTGCATCATCGATGGTGGGGCAGAGTTCCAGCAGTGGAGGCAACCTGGCTGCCTGAGACATTGAGGTGGTTGGTGAGAAACATTGAAAATGGGGGTTAGGGTAAAGAATACATCCATCCGATCTTCTCACGGTTTTGCATGCGGTTCATCCAATTTCACTTTCTCATCTCATCCACCGCCACGAACACATGAACCCGACTTTTCACATTTGTATTTATACGGCAAAGATAGCCGAATCATGACGGAACCTTGAGCACTCACGGTGAGCGCTCACCATGAACTCACAACTCTGCCTCAATGCGTCTTGCAAGCACCCGGTTCGGGACTTGGCTAATTCTAGTTCCGGCTCCGGCCTCCGATGCAAGGCAAATCCGATCCGGGACGGGATGCACAGATCACTGATGCGGAGCGAGACGCCGTAGAGTGGAGCCCGGAACGGATATCCAAACGGACGTCCTTTTGACAAATGAAGTTTCCGGGGCGGACATCGATCACCTATCCATCTTTAGTTTCTTTCTCTCCTGAGGCTACTAGCAGCTAACCCCCATCAGTTCCTCCCAGGAAAATACCTAAAGGTCGGCAAATCAATCCAAACCTCTTCCCCCTTCCCATCCTCGCTTTCATTTGGGTGCGAGTCCCTGTCCTTCCAAGTAAGAAAGTGTTCAAACCCACATTTCTTCAAAATATTCTTGCTCCCTCCGTTGTTATCCGTCGTCAACGCGATCAGTCGTTCCTCTACCAACACACCCTCTTCTTTATTCTCATAAATCCCATCCAGACCCCTCAACGTCCTCTCGTCGCACTTCACCCCCACCACCTGCCTAGGCAGCGCGTTCCACAGGCCCAACCAGGCCTTCAGGGACTCGGTCGCGATGCCCTGCCCCCACGCCTCCTTCCTGAACATGTAGCCGAGCTCGGGCCATCCCAGGCCTGAGCTCAGTCTCCAACAGCCGCAGATGCCGATCAGCTTGCTCGGGTCCTCCTTGAAGCAGATGGCGTAGTTGAATGATCTCTGGTTTTCTTCGTCCGATAGGATGCCGTCAAGCTTGGCCTTGGTTTCCGCTTGACTGCTGTCAGGCTTGCCGGCGGACGTCCAAATCATGACCTCCGGTTGGGTGCGCAGCTCGTGCAGGGCCTCTAAATCGGAGGCAGCCAGAGGCCGGAGGACGAGCCTTTCCGTTGTGACCCATGGACGCTCTGGGATGAGCGGGAGAGAGAAGCAAGGGAGTGTTGACCTAACGGTGATGAAGGAATCGGGAACCGGTGCTGCTTCTGCCATGGTGTTTAAATAATTGTGTAGACTGTGGCGTAAATTGGCGGTAGCGGACAATAATTGGGAAGGGTAAGCAGTTACGTATGATGTACAGTCACATAAGATACGTCAAGAGAGTTGGGAAGAGAAGGTTAAAAAGTTTTCATGGGAAGTGAGTTTTGTCTGGTATTACATGTCCACCCGCACATCCACTGCCCCCTGGCTTCAGCCGTCGGCGGATGAGTCAGGCCGCCCAACGGGTATAAGTCTTCCAGTATGTTCCCGGTCACGTTCAAGTAGCTGCAACGGTTCCCCATGCCAATGGCTTAACCGAACTTTCAAGGTGGCCGGCTCCTGGAAGTGATGTGTTGGATCGCTCAAGAGATGGAAAAGGGTTGCCTTCCGAATTGGATCATGCCCCAGCGCCCACGTAGCAGCTGAGGCGTCCATCTGCTTTTCCCCATCACAGACACGAGCATTGGCATTGCTGGAGCACGCAGTCTAGGTGTATGCGGCATCGACTTGCAGAACGAAAACCAACCACATGCTTGACCATTTATTCATTCATGCTCGTACTAGGGAGCAAATGCAGGATATCCCATTTCCCAGATGAAAACCTGAACCTCCCAATCCCAGCCACGATAATAAACGCTTAAGCAAAGGTAGCGGGGCGCTTGGCGGAGAAGATCTTCTTGTTGGAGATCCTGGGGACGCGGTGGGGAAGAGGGAAGGAGAGCTTCTTGGTGACAAGCTGCTTGATGTAGGGGCGCTTGATGTCCTCGGTCTTCTCGAGCTCAACGACCTTGAGGATCTGCAATTGGGGGTTAGCATGCTGGGGGCCTGGAAACAGGGGTGATGGGCGCAACGTACGTGGATGGACCTGAAGCGGGCACGGTGGCGGGCAGCCATGTCGGAGTAGAGAGCCTCGACAGCGGCGGTGCGAGAGAGCTCACGGTACTCCTTGTACATGTTGTGGGTGCCAGAGCGGGAGTCGTAGCGGATCCAAACACCGAAGTTCTTGACCTTCAGGGGGTGCTTCTCGGTGATCTGATAACGGGGTCGTTAGTGTCTTGTCCCAAGATATCCATGCCGAGTGGACGCTGCTACATACCGTGTTGCAGGTGACGATCTCGCCGGTGGCCTTCTTCACCTTGCGGAGACCGCGAAGGAAGTACCAGAAGCGGGACTTAGCAACGACCGCATTGGGCGCAAAGATGCGCATGCGGTAGAGGGCAGGAGTCGGGTTGGACTCGGTGGGCAAGTGGCGCCCGATGACCTGGTACTCCTGGAGACGACCTGAAGCATGACGTTAGCTGCTGCTTCATTATCACCATCGTCACTGTCCCCATGCGGCCCCCAAAAGTGATGATTGATATCGGTTTGGCTCTGTTGAACATCGGTTTCGCTCGGTCTTCGTCGTATTGTGAAAATTGCCCGGTTCCGGTTGCACTCGAACTTGGTCGTCCAGCTTTTTTCGGTCGAAACAGCCAATTCCCCACGGAGATCCATCTCTATTCGTTGTTGAGGGTATCTGGATGCCTAGACAGCCCCAAAAGGAGCTCCTAGCAGCAAATCCACCATTCCAATCGTATTATATCGAGTGTCGCATCTCGTCGGGCAGCCGGTTTCGCGATCGGGTTGTTGTTCGATGTTGTCACATTGCCGTCGCGATATTCACACTTTTGCAGGGGCCGGGACGACCAGGAAAAAGAAGCAATCGCTTACCCATCTTTTCAAAAATTAGCGATGCTCAGATTAACCGTGAGAATGCCAGGGAGCAAAGACTTACTGTGATTATTCGTCGCTAGGTACCGCGAGAATTTCGTTCTGTTGAGCTGAAGGATGTCTCGAATTAGCGGGCACGCGAGGAAAAAAATCCGGGTGTGCTTGTTAGGGCTCGTCGTGCTCGGACCAAAAATTTCTGGGCCACACAACCTTGAGCCACAATGTGGCGGTGCGCCATGCGACCCCCCGCTGTTGTCCTCCTTTGTGAAGTTGCAGATGTGGGGCGGCAGGCACGCCTGGCCAGGCAACTGAACCGCGACTGCCAGGGAGCATCCGTCTCCAATGCAAACGACCAGCAACTGAAAGTGCAACGATGAAGTGAGCTTCAAAGACCAATCACATTCCAGATTCCCATCTTTTTAAACTGCAAGCTTCCATCAACATTCACCGTCACGTTTTCAAACCTCGGTTCCAAGCTACGGCGCATTTCAAATCTTTATAGCAACTCAACGTCTTTCACATTGCTCTGATTTGGACACCCAAACCGACGTTTATTTGCGTCCTTCTGTCCATCAAGCGGGGATCCTGATTTCGGCAAACGACGTCAAGAAGCTCCAAAGCTACGTAGTTTAAGCGACCGCCTTGCGTCCATATCCCGTACAAGAGTCAACAAGAACAACATCTATCAGTCAGAGTGCGGACTTACGGGTGACTTCCATACACAAAAAATGGATACACTTATTCGAACATTCTCAAATGCGCAGACGAGCCGTGAAGGATACCAGCTTGCACAGACACTATCGCCTGATCTCCCACAACAGCAACTCCAGGCCATCTGGAAAAGTTGCGGTCACCATGATGCTCAGAATTTCATAAAGCGCGGTATTCAGAACAGCACATCGGGCTTCGAGAAACTGCCCAAGGACGAGGTGCAAGGCTGGAGTGATGTGTACCTTGCCTACTGGAAGGCCATCGGCGAGCTTCTCCCTGCTCTAAACCAGGCGCCGCAGTCTTCATGGACAAAAGTGTACGATGCGTGGAAGGAACTGCTCTCTGCGTTATACAGGGGCTACATCGGTCAGGGGTTCGAAGCGTGGTCAATTCCGTGCCTGTATGTCGTGGCCAAGAATCTGCGCATCTTCGCTCTGAAGGCCGACGAGGAGCGCAACAACAACGTAGCCGCCGGGGACACATCGGGCCAGATCTTCCAGGATGACTTTGACCCAGAGTCAGAACAACATCAGAAGCTGGAGGATTGCGCCCGTCAGCTCAACAGGATCTTCACGCTGTGTCTCAATGACAGGTATTACTACTTCTTTCACCCACCATATGCATGTTCCCGGGTGAACAACCTCACTGACACATGTTACAACAGAGCACCCTTGGAGGAGTCACGGAAATGGGGTATTTACTACATCATCAATCTTCTGTTCAAGACGTACTTTAAACTCAATTCGGCCAGTTTATCCAAAAACATCCTCAAGACATTGTCGGCTTATCGAGGTGACATGCCGCCCCTATCCGCCTTCCCCAAGTCACAGCAGGTCACGTTCAAATATTACGAGGGAGTTCTGTGTTTCCTGGAGGAGAACTACGTCCAGGCTGAGGAGCATTTGACACAGGCATGGTCCCTCTGCCACAAGGATGCCATGAAGAACAAAGAGTGCGTCAAAACACGTACCTTAACTCCCAAGTTTAAATCGAACAAGTACACTGACTCCTGTTTACTAGGCTCATCCTCACCTACCTCGTCCCTTGCCACCTCCTCACGACACACACTCTCCCAAGCCAAAAGCTTCTCGAGCCGTACCCCCGACTCCAGAAGCTCTTCCTGCCGCTATCCAACTGCATCAAGAGGGGCGAGCTGCACGCGTTCGACCTGGCTCTCCTGCAAGGCGGGGACGAGTTCGTCAAGCGCCGCATCTACCTGACCCTGGAGCGAGGCCGCGATATTGCACTGCGCAACCTCTTGCGCAAGGTCTACCTTGCTGGCGGGTTCGAGGAGCCCAAGGTGGAGGGCGGTCCGCGGGTGCGGCGTACTCGCATCCCCGTCGACGAGTTTGTTGCCGCTATAAGTCTGGGCAGCAAGAAGGCGATGGAGAGGGATGAGGTTGAGTGTGTGATGGCGAATATGATCTACAAGGTATGTGGACACTCGTGCCAGAAACAGCCATTGATTTCAGTCTCGAATACTCACTAATATCAACTACTCGGGAATTTAGAACCTCATGAAGGGCTACATAGCACGCGAGCGAGGCTTTGTGGTGCTTAGCAAGAGCGGTGCCTTCCCCGGAACTGGAGTATAGTGTTCTAAACTGTGATCGGGCGATAGCTTATGGCTTTGCCGTAGTCCATCAACACAATGGGAGCAGTAGCAGCACATGAAGTGTGTGGGGGTAACTGGGAGCAGGAATTAAAGGCCTCCATCTGGAATGCACTCGGTTCAAGGCTGCACCAGTGCTACCAGGTGAAAACCGCTCTTCTGCTGCCCTGGTGGTTAAGGCGGTCCTTCGGATAGACAAAAAGCATACTTAATCAATCAGAGTTCAAAGAAGTGCAGTATGTGTATCAAACGGTGTATCAAACGCGACATACACATATGGAGTTGAAAGAACTGCTTTTATCTGAGGTGCAGTCATGTTAACTCAATGTGTGAAGAATATCACGTATGACACCGGGAAAAAAACTTCGAAGGAACTTCGGTATATCCAACCACTACGTATAATGCAACCCGCCAATCTACTTTGCTCTGCACCGAATTTAAATAGTCCTTATAAGCGGATATTAAAGCCGATTTACCTACCTTTACGGTTGAGTGAACGTCTCCATGTAGGCACTCAGCTCGCCGTGCCGTTCATTACCATGAAATATGTAGTGATATACCTGACGACGAGACTGGATAACTTGATCGGGGAAGTGGAACATGCAAACCGACAGGAATCTACACAGTATTCTGGCCAGCTGACCGCTTGTAGGGCAACCCGACTCCTCTACATTGTTATCGTGTGAGACATCTTCAAGCATTCAGGATACCATCCGCGTGGTTTGAATAAAACTTGTTTGCTTCCTACTTTTTGTGTGTATTTTCCGCTCCCCTTAAACCTGCATATATACACCCACCCACCAACCAACCAACCAACCACCACCAGAATGAGAATCGAATAAAAGCGCGGCAGGTCTCAACAGCCCCTCTGCACACACTCCTTGACCGCGCATTGTAGGTTTACACCAACTTCGCCAACAAGTAGCTTTCATCTATACCTAGACAACTCAGCCCTCTACACTACACCTACTCCCCATGCTGGATTGCCGACTTCTCGCACTACAGTTGGAGCGCTCCTCCACCGCCTTGAGACCGCCACCTCCATTGCTAAACAGACATCCAAAAGGCCTATCGCACTATGACAGGAACCGCGAACTCTTCTTTCTCCCTATGCTGAAGCTGAACCGGTCTCGCAGCGGCGGCTTCTCGAACCTGCTCTCCGGGGGCGTAGGGGGTGGGCCGGGTATGGATGACGTCGAAGCCGACCTAGAAGCTCGCACGTCTCTCTTGAGACCCTCTGGCGTAGTCATAGATCTCATAGGCGAGCTCGGATGATGGTGGTGGGAGTGAATACCGTTTGGCCCCCCTCGTGAGGTGGGCGATAACGGTGATGATGGAGAGAACCCCCCAAAGCCATTGCCGCCGCTGCCATAGCCATCGCCAGTAGTCGCGCGGCTACTGGCGTTGCTCTCAGCCACGCCGCTGCTGGTCATGCTGCCATTGCTCCTATGCTCGGTGCTGCTGCTTCCCGCCCTGTCACTGCTCTTTTCGGACTTGTCGCTACCACCGCCTCCAGTCTTTCCCAGGAAGGCAAAGCTCTTGCGTGAGAGAGACTTGCTACCCAGGCCGGCGCGGTTGAACAACCCGGGGCTGCTGGGGCCACTCTTGGTGCCCCCTTCAGCGGCTGCCGCCTCCTTCTTGCGCCTCCTCTCCTCTTCGGCTGCCAGTTGTTTACTTTCGCGCATGACCTTTGCTAGTTGCTCCTGCTCTTTCTGCTGTGCTTCGCGCTTCTTGGCGAGCTTTTCGAGACGCTCCTTTTCTGCAAGCCTTGCTGCCTCTTTCTCAGCGGCTTTTCTAGCCTTCTCCTGTGCTTTCTCCTGGGCCTTTTGTTCCTTCTTCTCCTTGGCAATTTCTTCCTTGGATTTCGGTGGGACCGTGGCTGCCTCGTCCGCCTTTGTCATGACGGCAGGGGCCGGAGGTGGTGCCGCAGCTAGAGGATGGGAGTAAGGCTCGGGTCCGGGGGCCTGGGTCGGCGTCGAATATTGTAAGATACTGGCAATTCCGCCTGGAGCTGTTTGGGCGTGAGCGAGGCTTACCGATGGGTCAAGGTCCTCGACCGGTACTGTCGGCTGGCTGTTGACCTTCATTAAGGGGTTCTTTTCGGTTCCGTTCACCTGTTCTACGCCGGCTGCGAGGTCGGCTGCTTGTGTGGCTAGCCTCATCTCTTCCAGTCCTTCGGCATCCAACTCTTCCCTCATCTTCTCGAAGGTGACTTCCTGGTAAAATAGTACGTAGGCGCAAGCCATGCCTGGCTTGTCGCCAAAGAAGTTGGCCACAAAATTCTTGTCGACGGGCTCGACCATCTCGTCATCGAACAAAACCCAGCCTCGGTCCTTGGTCTTGATGATTGATACGTAGTGTCCGTGGTAGGCATTACCTCCAATATGAACAATAACTGCGTATAATTCGTAGATCCTGTCCGGGTCCTCCGCGTCATCGGTCGTGTTGAACATGCGAAGGTAATATGGATAAACGACTCGATGAAAGAGCTTTTGGAGCCGACTGTAGTCCTCGGTATACTTGAACCTCTTCAGATGCAGGGCCAAAACCTTTGGTAGCTTCTTAATCTTCATCCTCTTTTCAGCCTCTTGCAGGCCGCCACAATGATCGCAGTGGAACTTGTTTCTCTCGCAAAGCATCTCCTCTGCGGAAAATTTCCGTAGGCATGATGTTACTGAAGAATGTTCTTCCAGGTCGATCGAGAGATCCAGAAACGTTTCGTCTCGTTGTGACGCCGTCTCGCAAGTCAAGCACCTGGTTTCAGAAACTAGGACGCCTTCGAATATGTCGTGGACCCAGCTCGTCTCGGGCGTCCTGAAATTGGATGCCATCATGCTCCTCATGAGGCTTGGGGATGAGGATAGTTGGTTCAATGGAGACTGTATCGTTCCGTTTACCTTCCCGCTCTCCTGCATCCGCCTAGCGTATGCCTCCACATTTGATATAACGTCGTTCAATACAAGGCCGTAGAATTCGTGTGCGTCTTGGTGCATGGAGTTGCGGAACATTTCGTTATCGCGCTTGAAAATATCCAGAAAGCGTTGTGGACTGATGACGCCAGTCCTGGAGCTGCTCTGAATCAGAGCAGTAAAAATATCCTTCAGCCCAGTAAAGGTGCATTCCTCCATGCCGTACGCATCTGGATTTTCCTGGGCCAACTCCAAAACAGGCCCTTTGATCATAGCCTGCTTTTTCTTGTATTCGGGGGCGTCAGGTCTGTCTTCGGGTCGTATCGGTTGCGTTATTGGCATCGGTATCGGTCCAGGAGTAAACCCTTGCCGGGGTTTGGCAAATTGCTTGCCAGGCGTCGCCGCATTTCCGTTGACTTGTACCGGGGGCCGTATCGAGACTTTGACTTTGTTCGTCGTGCCTTCTGATGGGTTATTCAACGGCGGGTAATTAACGACGTTCTCTCGGAAAGGTTCCGAGTAGTATAGCGCTTGAAGGATCGAGTTACAATAGCTGGTTTTCTAAGGTTAGCACTATCTTTTACTGTCATCCGGCGGATTGCGCATACCATGTGTTGCCAAACTGCAAAAGTCATATGCGTTAGCGACATCATCCACACAGCAGGGTCCCAGAATGCGGTCCTACATTTTCCAAGCCAAAGTACTTGTCGCTTCCATCTTCTCGGAGAGGCCCAGCATTCTGCAGTATCCTCTCAAGGGGAGTCAATTCCACCGCCGGCTCGTCCTTTTTGTTTTTGGAGGAGGCATTGTTGTCGGTTTTGGAGCTTCCCTGCACGACATTGTTAGCGATCCAAAGACCATGTCAACACCCGTCCATTGGGAGGACAAAATGTGGAAGGGAGTCGTCCGACATACTGCACCTGCGCCTTTCAGTTTGTTGAAGAACCCTGCCATAATGCTATGGGTAGAAGGTAAACTGGCGGAGCGTGTAGGTAGTTTGAGGCCGAGTCAAAGAGTTGGCTACTGCTGCGCAGCATAAGCTCGGACGGGCGACGACAGCAAGCAACGCGTTATTTGTAACCATTCGCAAAAGACCAAATTGCAGTGATATGTCCGGGAAAGAGAATGGAAGAGGTCGCTTCGAGGTTGAAGAGAGTGCGGAGGCACGCGTGGCCGGGGCGCAAGGGGAGAAATCGTCTTTGGGGGCCGGCTCGTTGTCGCTCAATGCGATGCGATGCTGCGATGCGTAGGTATTGTATGCAGCTACCACCTGGCAGTGACCAGTCAGGCGAATGAATGTGCTGTTGAGTGCGCTTCCGATCAAGATTCCGTCTACCAACTCGTTGGACTTGTTGCGAGATACGGGTTTACGACTTGGAATCGAAGGATTGCGGCCAAAGACAGACAGGGCGACGATGGAGAGACGGGCAGAGACGGAGAATGGGAGTGGAGCGGACGGCCTCGAGGTTGGACGGATGACGGGCGGCGGGACGGGGGATACTTTAGACATGCAGCGGAAGTTTAATAAGGGGTCCAGGAGCCAGCATGCACGCTGTAAGCAAGCAGGTTAGGTAGGTAGCCTTCCTTGGACAACTTGGTAGCCGAGCTAGTCAAGTATCGAGAACAAGTGGTCTGGGTAGAACCTCTAAGCATAGAGCTATGATTTGTTGCCAAGCTGTATAGTAGAGTTGAGGACCGCAGGATGGGATGGAATTAACTTGCCGCGGTTTGTAGCGTATAGTGTACAGAGTGTGCACAGTGGAGAGATTTCTTCAACTTCAGGAACCAGACTCGGATCCGGGGACGGGAGACGGGAAGAGATGGAAACTTTTTGCGGGATGGTGATGGGTTGACTGGTGGTGCAGCAGGTGGTTGCCGTGGACCGTGGACCGTAGTGCTCTGACTCCCTGAGGCTGGCCGAGAAGTGGTACCTCTCTCTCTTGGTTATCTCAAACCTCAGAGACCAAGAGTCTCTTCACTGATTTTGCTGTGTCGGCTCGCAGTGGCCGTGGCAACTTCCAGCATTCTCGCGTCGATTCTGCTTTCTGCTTGCCTGATCCTGGGCTCGGGGTGGATGGGGGTCGGGTGAACAGTGCGCAAGTCTTGTGGAATGGGCAGGGCAGGAATGGTGGCATTCCCGTCTGTTTTTAGTGGTCCCGGGTGCGAGACTGGCGAGACGGGGGGACTGGAGACTTGGTGGAACAAGTTGAGTGGGAGGTGGATTTCCAGAGTCCAAGGTGGAAGTGGAAAGCCGGGGGCCCGGATTGTGCTGCAGGGTATCCACGCGGGTTGGCTCTCACAGCGCTTTGGCAGGCCCTTCAGAGTCCACTTCACCACTGTCACTGCCCGCTCACTGCCTCTTCCCACCACTCACACAGCCGGGTTGTCATTGCCCGTCTTGCAACAGCCCGGCGAAATGATATTGAACATCAATTGATCAGGTACCGCCTGGTGATCTTAGCAGTCAATTCCCTCCCCCTTTCTCCAACACGGCCGATCGGATCCGAGTTCTACACAACCTACAGGACTTGTCCTTGCGATCACCTTGGGCTTCATGTAACCTCTCAGCAAAAGGTATTCAGAAAGAGAATCTATCATTTGTTCGGTTCTTTTCTGGCCGAGTTCTCGGCGACCACTACAGCAAAGCCTCGCGTGATGGGAGAGGTTACGAAGGGCGCGTGTGCCTGTACGTATTCGTCTTCTCGCTCTTGTTTCTCAAATGTTGGGCATTCGGACTTGATATGCAACCTTACCTGCCCCGTTGGGTAAAGTGTCTCTGGGGGCCACGAGGTTGGAGCAGCTAACTCAACACAACGGCGAAACGGCACCAATGGGGAGACCAGTGGAGGATTCCATTCGAACTATCCCCGGACCTTTAACACTTCGATGTTCTCCACTTGCCGACCTCAACCGAAAAACGCTCGTCATCATGTCAGTCGGGATCCCCCTTCATGTTTCCTGCTGGATAGAAACACCAACTACGGTTGTGAGTGTAAAGCCTTCAAACAAGGACGGTTAGAAATTACAGAACACTGTAGGTTACCGACCTCACAAAGTATGGTCTACCACGCCTGAGCTTCGCGGCGGCCGGCGGCTCTCCCGTCACTCTCTTTCACACCATCGCGGTTAAAACAATTGGGTAGCAGAGGTGGGAAGACTCCCCAGGGCCACTTTTACCATAGCAGCAGACGTTACCTTTACAAAAGGTGTGGTTGCAATATAGGGTCGGTCATAGCAACCACATCGAAACGGCAGCACCGGCCGGATGGGTTCCTCGGTTCTAGGCGTCCATTCAATTTCACGCAGAGAGAGAGGCACCTGTGTTCCCATGGGACCACGATGCTGGTGATCAGAACTCGTAAGGGCTGACATTCGACCCCGCTAGTACCAAACAGCTGAGGGAGCACCAACTTGAACCTACTCCTGCTGCATGTCGAAGATGGCTCAGGATGATGGATGGGCAAAGTATATCTGGGCCGTCACTATCCCCATGGATGCCACGCTGCTAACCGATCAGGTACCCTATAACGTTCGTCTCCATGTACATACATACATTCCCGACCTCATTCACCTTGACAGTCTTGGCGCGCGCCAAGACTTAGTTGAGATTGTCACAAAACCCAACTTTTTGGAAAAATGGCCTTTGAAACGAAAAGTGCAAGATTTCATTCACTCGTATCTCCACCCGAATGGAGAGATACGAAAAAAACGATTGCGGACTGGAAATCAGCGTACTCAGAACTATCACCGTACATATCTCTTGAATAGTGCAGCTGAAGTTTTTTGAAATTCGTCTTTCGTTTCGAAGCTCCTTTTACCAAAAAGTTGGAGTTGTGACAAACTCAACGAAGTCTTGGCGACTGTCAAGTGTTTGAGTTCAGGAACAGGCGTCTCCTCCGAATCCTTTTACATAGGTTGGCTCTCTCATTCCAGCGTAGGGTGAGTTCTGGACAGCTCCAAAGTCGCCTGCGCCTGGAACGAACGCTCGCATGTGTCAAATTTGAGAGAGCTTGTGTCCCTTGTCATAATGGTAGTGCGATACTGCAATCACAACTACTACCAGGTTGGTCTACGATACCCATACGGTTTGTTGCAGCTCAGGAACTTGCTTGTCACCAGACGACACAGGCACTTACTTACCGCCTATTCTTTCCCTCCTCTCAAGAGGGGAGGAAGTGAAGATGACGAAGTGCATACAGCATGGCTTAAGATCATCCACCACTCAGATGAACCGCAACAGTCAGATCGCCCGCGATGCAGGGCCGCCATCGCGGGAACGATTACCAGCCGTGGAAAGCAAGGCACAAGGACAAGGTCGAGCGGGGAGGGTGGTTCTTGGCCGGTTGTTGGCCATGGGGGAAGGAAGGGATAAGCCGTTTTCCACAGCGAGCGTAATCTGGTAAATACCCACCGCGCGCAAGTATCCCGTCTAGGTACTATACCACATAAAAGCCCGCCCACTCAGTTGATCGTTCGTGAAACTTGAACCCAAAGTGGGATGTGATGCGCATGGCTTACTCGCATTAGCGTTACCGCTCGGAGCGTGGAGCGTGGATTGGATGTGCTACCATGGGACAACATGAAGTTCTAGAAATATTCCGGTTCTTCGAATGCTATACCTCAGTATAGGTACGTTTGGGTTACTAACTAAACAGTCACAAGATTCCTAACAAACCTGTAATAATTTTATTGTATTCATCCTCACCACGTCTTGGTTTTCCTCGAACTCAAATGAAGAGAAAGCCCTATAAAGTAATCCGAGGAGGGGAACCTGAGGTTTTGATCAGGTGTTACAGCCTGCTTGCTCTCTTTCACGTATACCTACAGAGCCTACTACCATTAACTCGAATCTATAGAATGATCGAGGACAACCAACTACACAGGACACAGATTATCTACCACGGAAGAGGTTTAATTTTGAACAACCCAACCCTTTTTTTTTTTTAAAAAAAAAAGATTTAGTGTCTAAAGCCTATCACATGAGAACTTAAAAATAAGCTTGTGAGATACAGCCTCAACAGTTCCCATATTATATGACCAGCCACGCCCACTTACCTGCCTTCAAAACGGATGCCATCATGAATACTTCTGGTAATGGATGTATGTACATACCCATACCCATATGTAGGAGCCTCATACAAATCACCGACCAACCATCCAACCAACCAACCAAATCATCTATTGTCCTCTATCCATACGGACATCACCTTTCAAAAATCTTCCTCGGATTACCTACCTCACTGCTTCACAGCTTCACAGACATATTGTATATGGAGGAAGGAGGAGGGGGAAAAGGTCGTGCGTGACACAGCATCACAACCCGTTTACCCACAGAGCCCACAAGGCTGCATGCATACAGTATGATTACCATCTTATCATCTCATTGTCTCATCGTTTGTACTGTTCTATCTGTTGTGCTTTCTGATGTTTTCTATGTCACTCGCACGAGAGACGGCAGTTCAGATATTTGTTGTGGGTGTTTCTACCAAGAGCAAGAAACCTGTGAGAAGGTATACTGGATGAGGTTTGTTTGTTTACCTAAAAGGTGTAAGTTACATCTAGACAATCGGAAGTCGAACGCTTGTTGTGTTGTCTGACGTCGATGACGGAGAATGTTCCGTGTTATTCTCACAGGTACCTAGGTCATAATGCGAGAATATGTTTACTGGAGACTCTCCACCAAAGTTGTTCACTTCACCGTGAACCACCTCTTCCCATACTCCCTCTTAAGTCGAAATATACCCTACCATTTTCTACTTACTTCAGAGACCAAGACAGTCCCATAGAGGACCGAAGGCAAACCCGGAGTACATACACCATCAGCACGGATTTTACCTTGAAACATCACCTTGGGCTTGGTGATAGTGGCTGAGGACCTGTCACAATCGCAGAAAGTGGACAACAAACACTGACAGAGAGTTCGAGTCGATACACTCAGGTAGGTCCGAGTATGAGTTAAAGACTTAGCTAGGTAAAAGTCTGGGAGAAACAATGAGACGTCAATCGGGTGTTCCGGTATTGAAACGCGCCCGGGAACATTCAAGATACTTTGGATCAAGCGTGTGAAGATGTGAGCAACCAGTTGCATCAGGTATAAAAGCCAGCAAGAGCCTTTAACAGTGTCCCCGAGGCATCAATACCAAATAGTTTACAGCCAATTCCTCCGACCACAAGGGATGGAAGCACTCAAAAGAGAACGGATGGAAGACACCAACTTGACATGCGGCCAAGGAAAGCTCGCCTCTTATCCCATCTGCCTGCCTTCCCAGAAAATAGAAAAAATTCGATTGCCATCGTACAAGCCAAGTTACATAGTAGGTAAACAAACAGAAAAACGTTCCCACCAAATTCATCATCCTTCCAACTATAAAACCGCTGGCGGATATCTTATGCGCCCTGGGAGACATAAAAGGTTTGCATGGGTTTCGTCATTTTTCTCTAACCCTTTCATGCTGTGGTTTCCTTTTGGTTGGCGTGTGTTTTCCACCAATCCCCAATCCCTAGTTCCCCAAACGCGCCCACCCCGTTCGTCCGTCCCTTGATATCCCTTCCCTTCTGTTATTATGCACGAAACAACCCACCCCAGCTGAGCTCAAGGGTGCCTACTACCGGCACCACCACATCTCCCGAAATACGTATTGTGGTCCCTGGGGCACATGGGACAGATCGTCGAATGGTTGCATTTCCTGTCAGGATCGCAGCAGCAAGGAGGGTAGGTCTGTGCCATTGTGTGTTTCGTGTGAATATGATATAGTTGTTATGTTGCCGTCATTCATCGTTTTTGGTTCGTCTCAGCCACTGTATGAAGAGTGCAGCCGCGCCAAAGAGGAACCAGATCGCTTCGAATAAGAATTGTTGCTTTGCTGGTGTTTAACCCGTTTAGCTGGAGAACTTGCGGGTGATCTTGGCGATGACTGGAGGAGAGAAGTTAGGTCAGCTATGTTCATTGCTGTTTATCTGTCTAGGGAACCCAGTGGACAAGAAAGCCGCAAGGCGTTTCCAAAGACAGGGAGGGTTAAACGTACTGTGAAGGGCGACAACGCTGAAGATGAAGACAAGCGACAGAACCAGGACGACAACGGGGTCGACCTTGAGGCCGGGGCTCTCATCGGTGTAGAGACGGAGCATGGTGCTGCTAGAGCCACCAGCGCCAGCGGCGCGCGTGCTGTTGGGGCGGGCATTGGCGATCTTCTCCTTCTGGTCGGCAGCAGCACGGCGACGGATGGCGGTGCGGGCACCGCCGGGGGGAGGAGGCGAGGAGGGGCGGCCAGAGCTAACACCGACCGCAGCGGGCGCGGAGGTGGGGGAGAGGCACGAGGAGAAGACTTTTTTGTAGGAGCATCGTTAGCTATGTTGTCGCGTATTTCCCAATGCGATCAGTCAACAACATAACATGGCTCGAAAGCTGATGGTATGATGCCACTGTGATCACAATAACATAACAACGGGGAAGCTAGCTGCTTGTAGACTCGAAGAACGTACCATTGTGACAGAAGATATTAAAAGAGGATTAATGTGCAAAGAGCAGAAAAGAGAACGGGGTGGTGAAGGAGGGTATCTAAAGGATCCTTCACGCTATAAATCGTCGTCGCGTAGATGGTGGTGGTGGTGGGTGATGATGATCGTGGCCGTAATTCAATGGTGGATGGAAGCTTTGGGAGATGCGTACCTTGTAGTTCCACGGGTCCCCCTAATAATCACGAGCCTGGTCTGTGCTTCCAATTGAGGCCACGGTTTGGAAAGATCGCTTGCCCGCCCGGACCAGGAAAGCCAAGGAGCCAAGCTCCCCAGGCTGGGTTCGCCGCTTCCAGGGCAGGCAAGGCAAGAGCTTGGGCCGCAATTTCATTCAGCCGTCCGCCGAGCACGCACAACTTGGTGGGTCCCAGGTGGAAGCTGCGTTTTTGTGCACCTTTTGGGAGCAAGTTCGCAAGGTACACGGTACCTGAATGGCTCCTTGTTCGCTCCTACAGGGTTGAGACGGACGGATCTGGGCCCAGGAGGAACTGTGGGGGCATTCTTCAAATCCCCGGATTTCAGGTGCAAATGCCAAGCAACGTTGTCAGGGTCCCCTGCCCCTTGCATTGCTGCAGGTGGTCGTGGTCCCCATCGCCATCAGCTCAACGTGAGGTTCCTGCGAGGGATGAACTGGTTGATGTTCCCCCCATGACGCGCCATGTGAAGTCTACGTGAACGACGTTTATGAGTACTGATATCTACTTCTGCAGCCTAAAGAAACCTGGCCCAAAGGGATATGCCAAAAGCAGCTTCAACCGGGCAAGTGACTATTGCGAATTGAGAAGCCCATACGAGGAGGCTTTGCGGCTGACTTGACGGGAACTCTGCTGCATAGCACTTTGGTCGCGTTGGCCTTCCATTTTTGGTTCCGATGACTCTGTCTCTCTCAGGAGTTGTCAGAGTAGGAGGACTCTACACTGCACGGGAATGCCGACGTCGATCCTTTCTCTAAGCAGCTTGTTTGATACGGGTACCTCTTTGATGGCAACTTGGGGTGTAAGTGCTAACAGTTGAGTTGGGCGGAACGACACCCCGTGCTCTTGTGTGCACGCTTGATCCAAACCTCTGCCACACGAATCCTGGAGGCCAATTGGTAACGCATCGGTTTATCCACTGAGAAGTGAATCATGAAGAGAGTTGATAACTTGTTCGATCAATTGAGTAGTAGCGTGGGTATTTCTGAGGCATAACGGGAAGCCAGATGCTGTTGTCTTTTTGTATCCCTCCGAGCCAGCAAGGAGCGAGCAAATCAAAACACCCATTGATATACATGTTATGACAAAGAACAGTGTGCCTATGAGTAAGGGGGAATTAGAAGAGAAGCCCGATGGGAGAAGAAGAAGATGAGAAACGGGGGGGGATACATGATAAGAGGACAAAAAGCTGACAAAAGAAAACAACACTATAAACACCCTTCAAGTACTCGGGTGTATGTGCGCACTAAGCAAGAACTTTGCGCCCGCTGACAGGCAAGACAAACCAACCGCAGTACAACACGGTTCCTTCGCTCGTAGCTCGGAAAAAGAAACAATGGTACTGGGTGATGCTCCATCCATCTCTTCCCTCCCCTCTCCCCCCTCCCGCTCGATAATGAAAGCCCGTCGTTCTGACAGGGATGTCGCTGTGTATAGATGGCTTTTACGCTTCACACTGGGCCGTACCAACCCGGCAATCCCAAAGCCCGTTCTTTTCAGATCGATCTTGAACTATGCCGGACCCATCAGCACCTTCTCTGCCCCTTTTTTTCGGTTCACGGAGGCCGGAGTGACCGGGCACAAGAGCGATAATGCTGTGCATATCCCTTCGTATGCAACGGGCCGCCATTTGGATCGGCCGCAACCTCTTGGATCTGGAAGGCGGGGTCGTAACCAAACAGTCATGTCTGTGAAACCCGCCATGCCGTATTTAATGAATTAGACAGTATGACACATTTACGCCTTTTTGCTTGAGACAAATATGAACCAAAACACCCCGCAATGGATTGGCCATAGGCCATCCATCCGCGAGGTGTTGTATGATCAAAACGGAAAGCATTTGAGTTGAACGCTTTAAAGAGTGACGTCCAAGACCAGGCTAACGTCTTGCACGTTGACACCGGCAAGGTCTTCCAGAACGGGAATGAGGTCCAATAGCTCGTTGTCATGCGCATCCGAGAACCAACTGCTGATTGGTACGGCGTGCTGGGGGTGGAAGATATACGAGGTTGGCGAGTTGTCGATGATGATGGTGTCTTTGAGGTCGCGTCCAACCTGGGACAGGTCTTTGACGTAGTTTCCTTGATGGTTGTAGCAACTTTCGCGGAAAAGACGATGGTGGACAACGTTGTGGATGTCCAACTGGTCCAGCAGCGGATCACCGTACTAAGGATTGTCAGCATTTGGTTTGCCAAACCCTAAAAAGAATTCCACTTCACGTACCTTGGAAACCGACGCAGTGAAGACAACAACTTCGTAGAGCTCGCCAACTCTCTTCATGAACTGATCTACACCTGGCCGCTTGATGACATAGACATTATGGTAGTTGCCTTCAATCTCAACGGGTATTGTGAAGTCGGCCTGATGGAGGATCTGTAATTCAATCAGTCAGCAAGCAGAGCAGGACAAGATGGTAGAGAGATATGAGGCTAACCTTGAAGGAGCTGTGCACGAGGGTTTCATCCAAATCAAGAACAAGGCACTTCTTGCCCTTGAACTCAGGTGCTTGAGGAGGCAGTAGGAACTTCTGAGGTTGGTCGGGAGGAAAGACGGGAGGGCTCTCAATTAGCGCACCGCTTGTTGGTGCAGTTGGAGCTGCGGGAATCGGGCCCGGAGGTGGAGGAGGAAGATTCGTGTACGATTCCTCAGTCGTGGCATCGGCCGCATGTGAAGCCTGTTGTGATTCCTCGGCGGCATCAGGCATCTGCACATCCCTTTCTTCGTCCTTCTCATTGACCACCTCCTCAACCACCTCCACTTCCTTGTTGGTCTGCTGTGGCGGCTCTACCGATGCCTGCGGGCTACTTGAGCCGGGGCCAACGATTGTTGTCTGCTTTGACTCTCCATCCCTTTCGCCAACTGTCGACTGATCCTGAGTGCTCGTTCCTGATACCCGCTTCCCGTTCTTCGACTGTTCTTGGGTCGGCTGCGATTGCTGAACTGGTTCCTTCTCAAACAGCTGAGTCTTGCTCGCGGTGGGTTGCTCGGACGGGGTTGCTGTTCGCCTGCTCGCGGTCGCCGGTCTAGGGGGAATCCTGTCGAGCTTGTGGCTTGGTACCGGGGTATCGAGGCCGTTCGCATCATCAGGGACGCCGCAACAGCCAAAGATGGCGAGGAAACCACCCTTCTTCTTCTTAGGCGCTACCGGGTTCGAGTTGCTCATGGCTGCGGTTGCTCGTGTTCCTGTACATAACTGGTTACCAAATGGGCTGCGATCCTGATTTCGTTCCAACATACTGCTTCTTGAATTTCTCGAGTTTCCACCGATACTATCACGGTCGCCTGTAATATCGCTGATTAGTCCATTTGTACTGCACGAGAATTGAAAGTCTCTTCCATCATGAATGTGAATCGCAAGGTTACAGGTAAGCGGTCGCTACCTCTTGTTGTTGCCACTGCATTGTCGTGGGTCCGCATCTCCTTCGAACTGCCAGGGGCAGATAGGGTTGTGTCGTCCGCGCTCAGTGCCATTTTGAAGGGTATCTTTGTATTGTCATAAAAAATGAACGCTGAACCCCAACGCAGAAAACTATCAGCGCTTGGTCTTGGTAGTAATTGCGTCGTAGTAGGAGCTGAGGTTTGCGGCGGTTGGGTTTGGATAGTGAGGCGGACGAGACCCGTTGACAGCCTTGCAGCACCAATCAATTGGGGATTGGGGGCAGTGCGATGCGATCAGTGGCAACGCAACGTGGAGGGCAAGCAGCGACGGAGGCAGCCAGCGAGGACAGGAACAACAAGTGGATGGAGCGAACTGTCTGGCACGTTGGATTGCAATGGGAACGGTAGAAAGTGAAAAAGCAACCAACCTCTTGTTCGCAGCTGAATCCAGCTTTCGCCAATCCAAGGCCCAACCCCTATCCTACCCTTCGGTCGGCAGAGTAGGTATTAGCCCTGTGAGGCCCTGACTGTTGTCGAGTAACAGCAGCCAACTCCTTGACGGGTCTGAAATGTCTGGGCGGTCGGCGTCAGGCTTTCGAAGTTCCGCAAAAAGTAAAAAAAAAAAATGATAATGGCGACAACGCTGATTCCGGCCGCGGTTGTCGTTGCAGGTGGGAAAATTGGCGCGCGGAGGCCGAAAAGGTCGAGGGGGTGTGTCGGTAGGTGGTCGACCAGAAACACGGACACACACGGGCACGCCTTGCGTGCTTGATTAGCCAGAAAAGGACCTGGAACCTAGAAGGGCAGAAGAATAATCAAGAAGGGATATCGAGGACCAAAAACGGGCGGGCCAAAGAAGGAGAAACGGCGGCGACGTGGTGGACGGGCCGGAGGTCGGGCAGATGCAGAAAAAGAGGGAAAGAAGGGCGTATCAAAGCTGGAGGTCGTGAGAGCGCAAGCGAGATGATTGACTTTAAAGGTGATGGGGTCGCTTCTGGGATTGTTCGCGGCGCAGAGAGGACGATGGGGAGAGCGATGGGGAGCGATGGGGAGCGGATGCGACGAGAGAGGAATAGTGGATTGCCCCGAAGAGATTAGCCATCGACCGAGTGACTACCAGGCGACGCCGGTACGGCCCTGCGTAGTGCGGCAGGATAGGATGGGATAGCTGGGCATGCAATTTTAGTGGTGGACATTAGCATGGAACAAGAAATGCGCTAACACAGTCCATCGGTTCTCTGCAACCCACAAAGTACCCACAACCACGACCTGCAGCCGCTAGGTAAATTCGTGCAGTAGGGTCGCTACTACATGTTTGCTACTGCCCACCATTTTTCTTTTTTTTTTTCTTTTCCTGTTACAGTTGGTTTTGGTTTCTTGGTTTCGTCTTTCTCATTCGACGTTCTTTCTTGGGATCTAGAAGCCCTCGGGATGAACGGGTGCTTTTCTGCTTCTAAGCTAGGCATTGGGGAGTCAACTTTCAACATGGTGTCAAGTTCATACTACTAGAGTGGAAGTGCCCCAGCACCTAACCACGGCACTCAAAAACCAATTTCCGTCGGATCACGTTCAAAGGCATTCAGCATGGCCCCCGTCTCTGGACCGTCAACATGCCCCGGCAGAGCTACCGCGCATACGCTAACCTCTGTATTGGACGACACCTTGTGTCTTCACGCTTACTTCTCTCACCCAAGGCTCCGAGCTCACCTATCACCGGTTCAATTGAAGTCGATAATAGCAACCTATATAATGACGGAACGTGCTGACAGTCAGACATCGGTGGAACCCATTGGACTCCCGTCCCGTTCCTTGAGGCTGTCAATTGTTCACCCGAAGGCTCATCTCGTCCATGAGCGCCTTATCTCCCATCAATGCTAGGCATAGCTAGGTTGTCAGTCAAACAGTCCCGTCAAATTTCCGCCACATACCCTGTTCACCTTCCTGGCCGTGCGACTGTGTCCTCTGCTCCCCTGCCCTGGCCTGGAGCTACTACCTGGCAACGTTACTGGCAGCCTGGAGCCCGAATGTCAGCTTGTTGTTGACCGCTCTGGATGTCTTGTGTGCTTGGGCATGTTGGTAACTTTTGATCACTTACGCGGGCCCTGTTGTGTCTGTATACGCGGGGTGAGCAGTTGTGACTGTCTTAACAACCTCAAAGACCGTTGGATGACGGGATCTCTCCAATTGGTGAGAATGAGAACCCACCCAGGTTATCGCGCGCTCAAGGCCTTCCAGCAAGTAATAAGATAATTAACCTGGTTCTGGTCTCAAATCTCTCGACATTTGCGCACCCAACTAGCCAGTGAGGCTCCTTAATAAAGGTGGTAGGGGTAGTGAAGCAGCCACGGCTGTTCCTATAGGCAAATCTAGCAGAGAGGCAGGCTCCATTCTTTTTCTCATGGGTCCAATGCCAGGGCACCGGTTTATGAGTGCCTCCCCATAAGAAACACAAGTCGTCTACACTAACAGGAAAGCGCACGTACTTGAAATGGTTCAACGAGTGGAAGTTCTTCTGACATTTTGTCATATAGACGTCGCATAGGAGTGCCAATCTCCATTGCCCCTGTCGGCATGTTTCAAGATTCAAAAACAAGCTCTCCACCACCGAAAACTCCCTTCGATGTCGACAGTCAACTCGCTGGTTCTCACGACGCTCTCCAGGCCACCCAGGTGTCAAGAGTCCACAGCAACCTCCACGGCTCCATCAACAGACAAGTCAACCCACACTCGCCTTGCAGCATGCTGGTGCCCCTTCTGTCATCCGCATTCCTCGGCCCGGGGATGCTGGACCTCGCCCAGCCCTGAGCAGCCCCAGTTGACAGCGACCGTTCCAGAGCTAAAAGAGCTTGGAAGCTGCAACTGGGCCTCGTGATTGGCCATGTTGGCGCCCGTTACAGTGATGGGCTGAATCCGGGACCATGCGCTGTGGTGATCCGTGACCACTCACATCGGCCGCCGTCTAGCTCGTCACAGTCTTGTCCACTTTAATAAAGAGCTTCTTTGCACAGTAGTCGGCGCCGAAGAACGCAGGGAGCTTTTGGATCCGCTGTGAACTTGAGCTGTTGGAGGATTGGCGAAGGACGGATTGTCGGATGGCCAATTCATACAAAGGAGAATCAAAGGCTCTTTGCTTTGGAGGTCTTGCCAACTCGCTCCATTGCCCCAACAAATTGCCAAAGTCAAAGCAGCCAAGAGAGCCTCGAAGCCGTGTGCGCATCCTCACCTCCTTTCTGCATGCGTACCTGACCTTCGGTACCTGACGCGGAGGACGCGGGTTGGAACCATAAGCTCTTGCGAGATCCGCCTTACGGGAATCGATACCGCCCCCGTTCCAGCACTCCAAAATAGAAGCCGCAACAACGTGAGCACGAGGCAAAACGCAGGGCCGCCATGATCCGCAAATAGGGCGCTGGTTACCCAAAGCAAGCTGCGTACTCCCGACCCCAAAAGCAAGCCGTGACGGCAAGCAAGCCAGGCCAGAAAATGAGGCCAGATACCAAGTCCTTGGAACCGATGGTGATGTTCTATCACCGTGGGGTTGAATTGGAAGGCCCTCCACTTCTTCTCTCGAAGTTCGACCTCAAAGTTCTTTGGCTCTTGTTAGGGTTGCCCTGCTTGGGCTCAAGTAACACTGAAACATTCCGGATACATACGTGATGTTGGAGTGAAATTGTTAAGATGGACTCACTGATTGATTAGTCGCAACACCCATTGTGCCAGTGGAAGCAAAGTCCGTTTCGAGTGACAAAGAGAACAGGAAACTCGGATTTGGAGAAACTCCCGTCAGGCACATGGCTAAAGATTGCCGTCGCGACGAACCTTTTGACAACTCCCGTCTTCCTGGACAATGGAGAATCTGGGGGAAATGGCCCGTGCTCCACGAGGCTTCCCCTTCAGACTAGAGTGCTTTCCCCAGCTTTCCCCAGGACAAGAGTGGGACGTTGAAACCGATGCAGATGATGACGTTGCTCTTTGCCAATGAAATGGCCGCCTCTCATTGGTTCATATTGGACTTTTGGCACCTCGGAATGTTCCCAGTCGAAACCGCCTGGGGGGTCATTCAGTGTATCGATCACATGCCACCACGGCCACGCCAATGTCGGCCGCCATGCTAACCACCACATTCAACCCGTTTTCCATCCGTCATCATCCTGTCGGCATCGTATCAGTCCGTACAGTAGTGTAATCAACTGCTCCCCCTTGCCTTCAGGCTCCCATTGATTACTTTATTTTTCCTCCATATCCAAGCCCAACCTCAACAACACCGTGACGCGACCCCTGCCGTTGTCACATCGCTGAAGCGGACTTCCTTCGAGAACACACAAAGCGCAATCATCGCATCGCCTATTTCATCTTGCGCACAGTCGCGCGTAGTTTGTTTCGAACCCGGATGCCAAGGGCAAGCGTTGGCTGTTGATCCCCGAGGATCTATCGGGATTGGTATAACGACCTGAAGTGGAAGCCAGCGAAGCCTAGCGACGCCCAGCGACATCATGGCAGTGCAGTCAACCCTACGGGGCTCCGCGGCCGAGGAGGCCATCGCGTCCTTCATCAACAAATACACGGAGCTCATACGCTCCAAACTGAAGACGACGACCAGGACCACACGTCTTCTTGCGACCCTTGCGCTTGCGACATCCATCATATTATCTGGCGAGGGTACGCGGAGATGGTGGAAACGCAGACGCGAGGATAGGGAGCAGGGCCGGAAGCTGGTGCGCACCAACTCATGGTTGCACAACAAGGACGGATCGAGGACCATTTACGTGCCCTACAAGGACGGCACCTCCAAGGTCGTTATCCATAGCACGAAACCGCTCACCTTCGAGGCCCATAGACGTCTGTTCCTGAACCCTCCAAGGGTCTCGGGTCTCGGCGACGGTCATGTCCCTTCGGCTCAGACGAAACCCGGCCTAAATCTTGCCTTCCTCCATCAGTTCCTCAGCCTGATGAGCATCATGGTTCCTCGATGGAAGAGCAAGGAGGCCGGCTTGCTTGTCAGCCACGGAATCTTCCTCATGCTCCGTACTTACCTTTCCCTGGTTGTTGCCCGCCTCGATGGTGAGATTGTGCGTGATCTGGTGGCTGGCAATGGCAAGCAGTTCCTTTTGGGTATTGTCAAGTGGTGCGGACTGGGCGGTTTTGCTTCCTATGTCAACGCTACCATCAAATACCTCGAATCCAAGGTGTCGATTGCTTTCCGAACACGTCTCACTCGGTACATCCACGACCTGTATCTGAACGATAACCTCAACTACTACAAACTTTCGAACTTGGACGGTGGAGTCGGGCAGGGAGCGGACCAGTTCATCACTCAGGACCTGACTCTGTTCTGTGCTGCTGCCGCCAATCTTTACTCCTCGCTCGGAAAGCCCTTTGTCGATATTTGCGTGTTCAATTACCAACTTTACCGCTCACTCGGCCCACTAGCCCTCACCGGTCTGCTGAGCAATTACTTCCTGACGGCTAGCATTCTGCGTCGACTCTCGCCACCTTTCGGCAAACTCAAGGCAGTGGAAGGACGAAAGGAGGGTGACTTCAGAGGACTACATGCGCGCCTAATCGCAAATGCGGAGGAGATTGCATTCTATGGCGGCGCCGAGATGGAGAAAACATTCCTGAACAGGGAATTCAAGTCTCTCAAGAACTGGATGGAGGGTATCTACATGCTCAAGATCAGATACAACATTCTTGAGGACTTCATCCTCAAGTACAGCTGGAGCGCTTACGGCTATCTTCTCTCTTCCCTTCCTGTCTTCTTGCCAGCTTGGGGAGGTAGTGGAGGGTCAAGCGAGCAACAGGCAGAACACGCCGAGAAGCACGGTCGCGAACGCAACCGCATGAAGGACTTCATTACCAACAAGCGTCTCATGCTCTCGCTTGCTGATGCTGGTGGACGTATGATGTACTCCATCAAAGACCTTTCAGAGTTGGCCGGTTACACCAGTCGCGTGTATACACTTATCTCCACTCTTCACAGAGCTCATGCGAACGCATACTACGTCAGAGGCCGCGAAAACGAACTCTACTCGTTGTCGGACGTACAGGGTACTATCCAGAAGGGCTTTGATGGTGTCCGCCTGGAGAACGTGCCCATTGTAGCTCCTGCGCTGTGGCCGCAAGGAGGCGAGGAGCTTCTCGAGTCACTTTCCATGGTTGTCCGTCGCGGCGAGCATCTCCTGGTACGTTTTGGTCCTGAATTCAGATCCTAACAAATATTGCTCTAGCTAACATATCGTGCGCTACAGATTTCTGGACCTAACGGCGTGGGTAAGAGTGCGATTGCGCGAGTGATTGCTGGGCTCTGGCCCGTGTATAGAGGTCTTGTGAGTCGACCGAAGAACAATGGCGAGGACGGCATTATGTTCCTCCCACAACGGCCGTATCTCAGCATCGGTACGCTACGTGATCAGGTTATCTACCCTGATGGCGAGGTCGACATGCGCGAGAAGCGCAAGAACGAGTACGACTTGAAGCGCGCCCTGGATCAGGCGCGTCTTGGATACTTGCCTGAGCGTGAAGGCGGCTGGGACACCCGCAAGGAGTGGAAGGACATTCTTAGTGGCGGTGAGAAGCAGAGACTCGCTATTGCTCGCCTGCTTTACCATGAGCCACAGTATGCCTTCATCGATGAGGGCACAAGCGCCGTTTCCAGCGATGTCGAGGGCCTGCTTTACGAGACTTGCAAGGAGAAGGGAATCAGTACGTTTAACGCCTACATTTACAACAAGAGTCACTGCTAACTCTCATTCACAGCATTGATTACCATCTCGACTCGCGCCTCTCTCAAGAAGTACCACATGTACAACCTCGTCCTCGGCATGGGTGAGCGGGGCGACGAGTGGGAGTTGCAGCGCATCGGTACCGAGAGCGAGAAGATGCATGTTGAGCGTGAACTGCATGATCTTCGCGAACGTCTTGCGCAGGTCGAGAAGTGGAAGGCACGCCGCGAGGAGATCGAACAGGAGCTCAACAAGGTGTGGGTTGAGGGCGGCGAGAATCTTGCCCCGCCCCCATACGCTGAAAAGGAGGGCGAGGGACAGGCCACACAGACAGAGTCCGAAAGTACCCTTGAGCAACGCTCGATCGGCGACTCGACGGTCGAGATTGTTCGTCCCGAGGAGGTTCGCCCCGAGGAGGAAACCGATCAGACGGAGTATGAGGAGGCTACGCAGGGCGAGCACACGGAAACGGAGGCGGAGTATGAGGATGCCACCGAGACGGAGAACTGAGCGAGCTGGCAGGCAGGTAGTGAGTGAGGTGAGGGCCCCATCACGCGTGTATGACTTATGGTGAAGTTGTTTTTGGTTCCGAGACACAGGCTCGATGAGCGTTGGATTGTTGAACTTTTTGGTCCCTGGTTGAAGAGACCAGCTTTTGAATACCGGATATTTTCAAGGCCTGACTCGTATATATATCTACCTATCATTTCCCCATCATCCCTACTTATATTTTCGTCTTCTAATCTTCAAGGTGCGTGTTCCCTTTTGATTACACATTCCAGTCCATTCTTTTGTCCGACCGTATGGCATCGGTATTAGAGAACTCGACATGTGGCGGTTACATGGCCTCTCATGAACTTGGCTAGCCTCCTCGACATTCTGCCTGAAGTCGTTCTGCTCGAGTCCCATGCCCACATCTTGGGGGCCCAGATTCCAATAGCGCCCTGACTCCTGCATCACTAGCCAACGGCCGATTGCAGCCCACTCTTTCATTAGTCCATCATCCAGCAATGCAAGCCACTGCCGCCCTATGCCGCTTTAAGCAGAGCGCCTCCCCGCGATCCTCATTTCAGCTCTAGCTAATCTTTTCGGCCAATGGCTCGGCCATGCAACCTGCAGCTTCTCTCCGGGGTTGGAGCTCAACATCAGGGGTTTGTGTGTGCCGGCCAGCCACGCAATCGCAGACCCAGCAACGTCAATGATTTATGCGACCAGAACACCGGGCTGAGAGCACTTCCTGTGCCCCATGATCTCGGTGCGAATGGAACAGCGGACAGTATGGGATATCCGATAGGGGTTTAGGTGAGTGTGCCTTTGCGGAGAAGCTAGATAGAGTATGAGCTGGCTTCGAGAACACATAGGCGAGGGTCGACGGAAGGTTGGGGGGAAGAAGGAGGACACCGAAAGTCTTGTGCGTTGCAACCTCAGGAGCCTTGTCAATCGATGGCAGGTAAACAGAGAAAGAAGGCAAGGCGACTGATGATTCCCCATCCTACTCCCCCTTGTCGCAGATATGAGATATGTATGTAGGTAGGCCCAGTGACGCAACTAGGACCTCTATTCTTCAGGCGCGCGCATCCCGGACGCGAGTCCCGTCCCGGAAGAAGAATTATCACAGCTCATCTTAAAATTACGACGCCCCAATATGGCTTTCTGACAACACCCCAAGAATCGCTCATCACATCACCAATTCATATCTCGAGCCTTCTTTTTCGGCCCCTTTGGCACCCCTGACCAAGCAACCAGGTTGAGCAAGCCCGACCGACCAGCCTTTCACTTTCATCCCAGATTCCCAGGACCTCCGGTCCCCCACCATTCAGCAACGCCTGATTCTCGGCAGTAGCAACAACAGGATCAAGATCGTCCATGCATAAATGATCGACAATGGTGTTTGTACCTTGTTGTTGAAAGTCTGAGCACAGGTACAGACAGGTAGTCAAAGGCTGGGCAAAGTCAGATCTGATCATAAACAAGACCAAGTTTGCAGAAGAATAAAAAGAAGAAAAAGTGGAAAAGTAGTCATATGAGAAGGACGAACAAGAAGATCGGGGTTACCTTCGCAATATTAGTTGGCTGCCCACCCCATGTGAAGAAAGGCGTCGGTTGGAAAGACATCATCAGAGAGAGAACCTTTTAACACCACCAATCTCAATATCCTTCCTGCTACAATTTCGGTCTTTGCCGCCATCACGAAAACTGGCAAACACTAGATCCAGCCTGGTCCGCTTCATCTTATCGAAACAAGGCGATACCTCTCTCTCTCTCTCTACATACCGTATTTGCGGCGCCTTCACAATCGGCTACATAACAAGAAAGGAGACGTGGTGGTGGTGATGACGAGGAGCTAACGACTCCCACCCTTTTTCCACGCACTTTTGGTCTACTTCTAAGAGACGACTTTTCTCCCTACCTAGCTTCTCTTCACATCTTCTTTCACCATCTCTCGAGCTGCTGCGCTGGCCGGTCCACCCTACGCTATCCACAAACTCTACCAGACCCGAATGCTACTGGAAAAATTGCTGGGACGGTAGTAGCAATCCGGCGAGCACCCGACGGCGCAACATATATACCTATCTTCAGACTACATACCTACGCCTTGACCCTCCATGCGCAGTCGCCGGAGGGTAGGTATATACCAACAAACTTAATGACAGGGAAAAACACTCGAACCAGAACCACAAGAACGTCAACGCCCAAAATATAAAGTACAGAAAGGGAAAGACAACCAGAAAGAAAAAAAAAAATGGCCCCAGGAAGCCGCCGCTCAGTCCGCTCCTCCACACCCATCCCCATGCCCGTCATCGCCGAAGACGAACAACACTCCGACCCAGCAAGAGCAGCAGCAGCACAAGGGGCAACAACAACGCCCACAGTCCCACCTCGCTCTCCACACCGACGGTCATCGACAACGAGGAGCAGCAGCAGTTTATATCCAGGGGCACCCAGCGGCAGCGGCAGCGGCAGCGGCAGCGCGAGACCGGCATTGTCCAGATCAAGCAGCGTGCCGCAATATGTGCCGAAACCGAAACGGGCACCGGGGATAAGAGCCGTGGGAGGCGAGGTGGACAGTGTGAGGTCTATACCGCTTAATAGTGATGGGAGTGAGCGATGGGTTATTCCGACGGTGAGGGATCGGGAGGGGAAGATGATAGAAACAAATGATGGCGGTTTGGTGCGCCCAGTGAAAGGGATAGGGAAGAGCGAAGATGGGAGAGCGGTAGGACATGGAGGAGGGAAAGAGAAAGACAAGAGGGGGTTAGGAGGGTGGGTGAGAAGCCCGGGCAGATGGTATAAGGTTGTGGTTTTGGGGATACTGATAATTGGGTTGATTGTGGGATTGGCAGTTGGGTTGACGGTTAGGTTGAGGAAAAGGTATTTTGATCTTGCTTCCCAATTTTCTTCCCTGGACTCTTATGAGTACAGGTAGATGTCCATTGCAGAGTTTCCGCGATTCGTGCGTGCAAAAACACTAACACAAAACTTGGCTCCAGACACAACTCCTCCGACCCCGAACCCCCATTACCAACCGACCTCTTTCCCGCGGGCTCCTACACCTTCACGGCCGCCCTAGCCAACCTTTCGGCATCCTGCGCACCACAACGGAATCCTTCCCTCTGGCGATGCTACCCCTACGCTCTTTACTCCCCCACAACAGACGAAAGCACATCTGCTGCCTCCTTCCGGTGGATCATCCGTCCCACAACGACATACTCCTACGTCATCTCCTCTTCTGACGACCCCTTCTCGCCCACCGGTACCTTCAAGGATGTCAACCTCACCATGATCGATGCGAACCAACCGAGTGAGCGATTCACGTTTAGTTTCGTTATGGCGAAGGCTGTGGTGCCGGATGTTACTACTGCCAGCAACAGCAGCAGCAGCATGTCCTCAGCGGTATCTCCCACGACGACAATGACGATTGCTGCATTATCATCATCCTCGGCTTCGGCTTCGACTTCGCAGGCTACTTCTAACGGAGGGGAGAAAGCCAGACGCAGATGGTTAAGATCAGTGAAGAGGGAGGATAACAACACGATTTCACGAGAAGCACCAACAACAACAACAACAACAACAACAACAACAACCCCAGCAGAGCCAGCAATATGCTGGTATAATCAGACGGTGGTCCGTGGCACGATCTGGACGCGCATGAGCGCGAGTTACCCGGCTAATATCACCGACGTGCCAACACCACTAATAAACGCAACGAATGTGTTTGCGCCGTGGCCGTTTGCGGTGGAGTTGACGCTGGAACAGACGTATGAGGAGGATGGGAGGGGTAATGGGAAGAAGGCGCCGGATTGTAGGGATGCTGCGGGGAATCCGGTGGTATTTAGGAATAATGATAATATGAAGGTGGCTGCGGCGGCGGTGAGGGCGAGAGATATGAGCGTTGTGGATGAAGCAGATATTTGCAGGTGTTCGTATACGAACTATGGGCTGGATACCATTGCCTCTAGTAATAGTTCTAGCGCTGGTAACCCACAGGGGCAGAGTCAGGATCAGGGACTCGGCTAGAATCATGAGAAAAGGTTCGAGCAGTACGGGGGCACCTTACCTGCTTACCGACTGGCGAGTGAGTGTTTAAGCGGTTCGCGGGAAAGACAGTACACACTGGGCCACTCTCTCTGGCTGAGCCCGTGTGTACTCCTTTCGGGAACTATCTGGTGCTCTAGATCCGGAATGATGATGCCAGAGTGGAGCCTGATGGGCAGAAGATCGATCCATAGGGCTGAAGGTAGCCGTCGAACCAAACAGACGCTGCCGCCGCTCCCCCTTTAAGAGCAACAACCTCGGATATTTCCATGCTTATACGGCATAAGAGGCAGCTTGGCAAGGCGCATCAACGAGTACGACGGCCGACAGCCAGTCAACAAGCAGGAATCGAATTGTATTGTTCTCCCGTGTCGTCCGTGGTTGCTGGCCCGAGGTACTCCATCGGTTGCCGCCGGGCTCGCCAGGAAGCTGGTTCCGATCTAACCCTTTGGAAGGTATCGAAGCGAGAAAGAAGCTTTTTTGCCCGGACTAGCTTCCGTGGAAGCTCCACTGACGCAGTGCTTTCAATGCCTTCCTTGCGGGTCCTTGCTTCAGCATGCTTCCTCCTCAGGCTAGCTGCATCGAGTTCCAGGGTTGGTGGTATGGTGGCACCACACGTTTGGGGTAGCACGGTAGCAGCGATCCATGGTTTGATGTGAGATGGATGGTGTGTACATCTGTTTCTGTATACCCAACAAGAAGGATATAAGAAGTGTCTGATCAGTACAAGTCTTGAGGAGGTCACCAGCGGCTCATGCGTACGTGAAGTCAACCTTTGTCGAAGAGAAGACTTGAATATCTGAGGTCAAAGTTCTTCAAGAAAGTCTCAGCTGGTACCCATGGGTCCTGTGGCTATACTCCACCATCATGAAAATAACCCCGGTGTTATTGGACGGGAATGTAAACGGTTCCCTTATGTGACTGGCGGGAACCAGGAGAATGTCTGGTCAGTGGGTGTTCATGCGTACTGGGTACTGCTTCCGGGCAGACTGTGGCCTCAAGCATGGATGTGTTGATGTTGAATCTGTTCTGTCTCCAGCAAGGTTTTCGAAAAGAGAATTTCATGAACTCGGTACGGACAGTGTCATGAGAAAAACAGAAAAGAGATACAGGTGGAAGTCGTATGCGATCGACGTGCATGTCGTTGGCTCCTTCTCTTCCCCCTGCTGAAAATGACTCGGTCGATAATACCTGAAGGTCACGGGGAAGGTTTGACCTTGAGGCTCTCAAAATTAACAAGGAACCAACGTAAAACCCTACGACCAGGACCTGAGTCGTTTTCCTTACTACTTCCCCAGCATCGGTTGAATCGACTACAAACAGTGAACATCAACATGACGATAGACACTCCATGATATGTGAACTTGCTTGCAATTTCAGAACCTCCTTCTTGTCACATACAAAAGTTGAAAAGGAGCCTTCTTGAACATGAAGAAGAGCAAAACGTAAAGAGTGTTACCAAATTCCTATTGTCATTATCGAGTTGAAGTCGGGAAAGTTGAACTGACGTTGATTCCTCGGTGACCCACTCTTCATCGTGGTATGCATCAATGGGGGCATTTGTGCCTTTTTGCCAAATATCCTAGCGCCGCCCCGCCAACCCCATGTTGAAGGTCGACAGAGGTGGAAACATCTGTCAAACCCACTCCAGCCTCTACCCATCACGCTTCTGCGCTTCCATATTAGCCACGGCCTCTGGTTGGCTCCGGTTAAATAGGTTAAATGGCAACTTAAAGCCGGGCTACCGGGTCTTATCCAGATCCACCACCCGCAGCTCGCGGGCTCCAGCGGCTCCAACAATTGTTCAGAACACGACTTCGATATGTTGACAGCATTTGAAGATTTTCAAGGTCAGCTGAGACAGGCCTTGGGTAAAGGCGTTTGTGCCCGGGAAAATCTCCGCAGATAGACCGAGAAAGCTGGAGACAAACAGAGAGAGAAAATGTGTCTTGTCCGAAGTTTGAGACTGACCAAAGCCCGGCCCTAGTTTCAAAGTTGGTTACCATCAAGGTACAAGGCAAACGGTTAGACAGGCCGCTCTGGCGCCATGTACCTGTAGTGTAGGTACAACATGAAGTCCATGTGGATGCAGTGACGCTGTCGCACCGTCGGACAAACCCACCCCATTCTCCAACTTTCTTTTAAACCGCGCAAATGGGCGTCGAGATATCCTGTGCCCACTACCTTGGCCCTGCGCCGGCTGACAAGGCTTCGGGCCATTATCCATGCCAATCAGGGCCCGTTCCCGGAAAGGCAGCCGTCCCTGGGCTTCCCTACCCTTCCCTGGGCCATCTCGAGTATCGCTGGCGACCAGTCAAACATGCAATCTTGGCATCCCGTCAGGCCAGATGAGGGTCCTTGGAAAACCAAGCTCCTGTCTGCCACGCTGGAGATTTGATAGCGGGTCTGTGAGGAGTTGAACGGAAGCGCGAGGGGGGTGAATGTGGAGGTGGAGGGAGGGAGTGAGGGGACAGCATGAGCCGAACCCCATCACCATCATAGCTCTGGGTCTCTCTCCAACCGGCATAGCATTCGTCCGTGGATGGGCCGGGAAAGGTTGGAGTAGGCACATCGGGGTATTTGCATACACGCCTCTCTACGTAACGACGGTACGAGGGACCGGGAAAGTTCTAGCCTCCACCCACCAAGCGTGGACACCTACGGACAAAGAGAGCAAATATAAATACCATCACAGCCGCTCTATCATCCTGCCTGGCTTGCTTGATCTCTTTCCGTCTCACACACACCTCTACATCCTCACCAACTCAGTCAAAATGGTTCCCTCTATCAAGCTCAACTCCGGCGCCGAGATGCCCCAGGTCGGCTTCGGCCTCTGGAAGGTCGACGGCGAGATTGCCTCCGATGTCGTCTACAACGCCATCAAGGCCGGTTACCGTCTCTTCGATGGTGCCTGCGGTACGTTCAAGCCTTCCTTCCACCTTCCGATACATATCGTACAATACCCCATTGTCAACTCAATATCTCCTTTCTCCCATGGTCGATCTCGTGGTTTTTCTTTTTTTCCAAAAGGACAATGACGAGCAGTGACACCATGGTGGGGCAGTTTGACACTTACACGACCATCCCACTTCCTCCCCCTATCGATTCAGCCCGCCTGAAGAGATATTATCCGTGATTTCACCCGCAACGGCATCGCCATCCAAAGACACCAGACCAAAAAAAAACATTGGCATAAGTTCGTGTTGGCTGACTCGCCATGGCTTGTATACAGACTACGGCAACGAGGCTGAGTGCGGCCAGGGTGTTGCCCGCGCCATCAAGGAGGGCATCGTCAAGCGCGAGGAGCTCTTCATCGTCTCCAAGCTCTGGAACACCTTCCACGACGGCGACCGCGTCGAGCCCATTGTCCGCAAGCAGCTCGCCGACTGGGGTGTCGACTACTTCGACCTCTACCTGATCCACTTCCCCGTCGCCCTCGAGTACGTCGACCCCTCGGTCCGCTACCCTCCCGGCTGGCACTTTGACGGCAAGAGCGAGATCCGCCCCTCCAAGGCCACCATCCAGGAGACCTGGACCGCCATGGAGTCTCTCGTCGAGAAGGGTCTCGCCAAGAGCATCGGTGTCTCCAACTTCCAGGCCCAGCTCCTGTACGACCTCCTCCGCTACGCCAAGATCCGCCCCGCCACCCTCCAGATCGAGCACCACCCCTACCTCGTCCAGCAGAACCTCCTCAACCTCGCCAAGGCTGAGGGCATCGCCGTGACCGCCTACTCCTCCTTCGGCCCTGCCTCGTTCCGCGAGTTCAACATGGAGCACGCCCAGAAGCTCCAGCCCCTCCTCGAGGACCCCACCATCAAGGCCATCGGCGAGAAGTACAACAAGGACCCCGCCCAGGTCCTCCTCCGCTGGGCCACCCAGCGCGGCCTGGCCATCATCCCCAAGTCCAGCCGCGAGGCCACCATGAAGTCCAACCTCAACTCGCTCGATTTCGATCTCTCCGAGGAGGACCTCAAGACCATCTCTGGTTTCGACCGCGGCATCCGCTTCAACCAGCCCACCAACGTAAGTTTTATATCTAACTTTTTCCATATCGGCGCCCAAATGTGGCCTCCGAAATCTCTATCATATCATTTACTAACATTACTCACAGTACTTCTCCGCTGAGAACCTCTGGATCTTCGGTTAAATTGTTTAAACCCCTTTTCTCCGAATTTCCCCTCGCAAAATTCTCCTAAACACCCCCGTTGAGTGCAGTGTGCAATATACCCATAAACGCATCGGTTATTACGCGGGAGGGCCCTCGGGAGATTGGTCGCTTCAATGGAAGCGCACCACTCACTAGTCACCCTACCCGTGTTGTTGCCATGCATCGCACACACACGCTCATGAAAAAAAAAACACCCCCGATTCATACCCGACCATACCATACCATCAGATACACCGAGAAGGAGAGACGGCTGGTCACCGTACAAACTAGGGCGTGGGGGACAGCGGGTTTTAGACTATGCTCCCCTCCCCTGGGTTTAACGGCGGGATTGTGTACATGTGATGGGGCATTCCCGTTGTTACTGCCAAGTACCTTGCTCATAAAAAGGGTTTTTCTTTGGCAGATCAACTCTCCCGGCTCCAGGCCATTTTTTTCTTGTTTATAAAGCATAAATCAAGATTTCACGATTTTTTTTTAACTTGACTCTTTGTCTGTCCCTCGTGATATGTCTTACTGTAATACTCGCCGAGTTTCTTTAGTGACTATCGTCATTGTCCAACTTATCAGCATCGTCGTCGTGCAAAGCCCCATGTGGTCGGGGTGAAGATGGGATGAAAGTGGGAATGGGATGAATGGGGAGCAAAGGACAACACCGGTCAAAACGAGAGAGCAGCGGGTTCTACTGGAAATCTCCATCAGGTTGTCGATTGTCTTGCTTCAACAACGAATCTAACGCCATAGTACCGTGAACGCCAGTGCCATGCTGCATGAACTCTTGACTACCTACACAATTATCATGCTTTGCAAAACCCGGCAAAACCGCCGTCCGCCTCTTTGCTCCTTTTTAGTCAAGGTATCACCTGTCTAACAAACCACAAAAAAGACCTTAAAACAGAATGGAAAGATAGGTAGCTGCAATGTTCTATAATCAAGTAAAGATCATACGCGGACAAAAGCTACGTGGTTTTGGAGTTAGCAAGTCTCCTAAACCTCCCGACAGATATTGCATGTTCAAACTTACTAGCATCGATCTGCTGCACCTGCGGCAGAGCCAGCCGGACCTTGTTCCTGTACAACGCCGGCGCCCTGAGCTGCAACGGGTTCCCCTCAAAGTACACCGTCGTCAGGTTCTTCTTCTCCTTCAGTTCTCGCTCCACCTCAGCGAAGTCGCCGACCATGTTATAGCTCGCCCACAACTCCTCCAGCTCCGCGAGAGGGCCGATGCCCTTCAGGCTGGCAATCTTGTTGTTGGAAATGTCCAACACCCGCAGCTTGGTGTTGTGCTCCAGTCCCTCGAGCGACTCGAGAGCGTTGTGCGAAATGTATAATTCCTCGAGCTGGGGCACCTCGCGCAAGGGCGAGAGGTCACGGATTCGGTTCGACTGGATGCTGAGCAGACGCAGCTTTGGAAGGCCACCGAGGCCGGTGAGTCCGGTGATCTTGTTCTTGGCCACCCAGAGCTCTTCGAGGTTCTTGAGCGAGTCGAGGTTCTGCAGTTCGCGGACGCGGTTCGAGCCCAGTTCGAGGTTGCGCAGCTTGTCGAGCCCTTCCAACCCTTCGATGCGGCTGATCTTGTTGGAAACAAAGAAGAGATCCGTCAAGTTGGTCAGGTGATTGACGTGCTTGATGTGCTTGATCTTGTTGAAGCTTAGATCCAGACTAGTCAAGTTCGTGAGCTCGGTCAGCCCGCGGCCGATGTGTGAAATCAGGTTGTCATAGAGATCGAGATCTTGCAGAGTCTCGGCGACGGCGGAGAGGCCTTCGATATCTTGGATCAGGTTTTGGCGAAGGCAAATACGGGCAACTTGTTTGAAGCGCTCAAGACGCAATGCTGAGATGGACTGGATGCGGGAGTGAGTGCAAATAATCTCGTCGGTGTCTAGGGGCTCGTTGTCGAGAATATCTGTGAACCAGACAAACCGGTCATGGTTAGCCAAAAGTTCATTGCCACTGTTTTTTTCTTCCACTGTCTTTCAGACATGGAAAATGCCAGTGTATGTATGTGTTTGAGCGCTGTGGATTGCTTGCCTTCATCCGCCGCAACCTCCTCGCCGGGAACAACGTTGTCCTCGTCCGAGTATTCCGGATCCGATAAGGCTTCGGGATTTGCGAGCACGGCACTTTTTGGCACCCGCAGCTTTCCGTCCCAGCCTTTACTATTTCTGAGAGCAGGACTACCTGCTTCGCCCTCGTGTCGTGGTGAAGGGTGGTCGTCGACCAGCTCGATATGGTGACCGGGCGAATGGTGGCCCGGTGTCTTGGCGCCTTCCTCAATGGGAGCCGGCATGATTGTGGTGTTATATGGGCGGTTGTGTAATTGATGTCTGGTCTCGGATGTTGCGCAAAGCTAGGGAACAACAGTCGCAGTCGTGTTGAGAAGTGTCCAAAGGTAAAAATGGTGAACCGAGCACGCGGTTTGATTTATCACAGGACTCGAGGCAGTGTTGATCAGTTAATGGCGCAGTCGGAATTGGCGGCGCGGTGGTAGTCGGTGGTGGGTAGTATTTGTTGGAGAGATGCAGTGACTGATCATTTATAAGACGTGGAAGTTGGAGAATCTCTAAACTTTTTTTTCCTCGATAGAAAATCAAACGAATGGAAGTCGCATCTATGTACAGCAAGGAGGGGCCGCTTCCTCATTGAACATCGTCATGCTCATGGACCAATTCCAGCCACCCGCTGGGGTGTCCCGTCATGCGCTAGTCCCCTTGGTTGGTCCCCTGGGGCGGACAAATGCGGGGATACCATCAGTGGGTGCACCGTGCAACGCCTGCCTCGTTAACACCTGGGCAGACCAGAAAGGGTTGGTCGTACAGGGGTCCTGTTAGTGCAGAAGCTCTCGACGGGACGGGATGGCATCAATCCGAAGCAGTCCAACGGGGCATCATCATCATCATCGATTTTCCGCTGGAGAATCCGACACAAGCCGACGTCGTCCCCGCCACTATATCAGAATCAACAACGTTCACCGCCATTGCCGTTTCAATCTAGTATTCTTCAATCACTTCGGTCACTATTTCAAGAGGACACCACGCACTGAGTCTTATCATCCAGAAGGTTGAAGGCTTTCGAAAAGCCTCGGAAGGCCTGGAACCACACTACCGAACAAATCACATTCTTCTGGGCCGCCTCTCAAGGTTCATACGGTAAATTATCGAGGCATTTCGTACGAATTGCAGACCGCCAAACGGCGCGGTTTTGTCTGGACTCGCTTCATTGTTTGGAACTCTCAAGTGCGCCACCAAAACCTGGCCAACAATCTCCGACTTTGAGAAAGACAGTTGAGGTTGTGGACGTGCATGTGCAGAACACCTTGCAGGAGGCTTCAAGAGCAATCGACAAGTGGCAGTTGAACACGAGATTAAGCAATGAAAACGAGCTGCGTGAAATCCTGCAGATTGCTCGGGTGAGACAAGTGCCATTGTCTCGCACGTTTTCCCCAATGGCTTCACGCTGTCTCGCGTCCGCCTCAAGGGCTCGGTTGGGACGACTGCATCCAATATCTTCACTTCCGAGCTGTCGTAGTGGTAGCACCTACATCAGAAGTTCACGACTTGGTGTGACTACTGTCAGGTCTTTGATTGTTCCCCTGGCAGGCAAGCCATGCATGTTTTCCGTTGATGGTAACAGCCGCAACACGAGATTTATTCACATCCCGACGGCGCTGATGCCGCCAGTTGTGTTCGTGGGGCTTCTGGTGGCTTTATACGTGTGGAAGTGTATGATGCTGGTTGTGTTCCAGAACAAGATCATATACATGCCCGGATTCCCTCCTAATTCACGATGGGAGCTCATTGACAACTATGATAACCACTGCGGTGGAATCAAGTGGGCGGATGAGAGGACCCGAGCCGCGGACGGGACGGACCTAGCCATGGCCGTTACAACCGTCCCAATGCAAAAGGGCAAGTCCCCTACAGACAACAAGGCTGCGAAGGCCCATATATATGTCCTCTATTTTCAAGGTTAGTATTCTCATACGGACGCGTTGTCCGAAATTCAGAGCTGATATGATTATCCAGGAAACGCTGCATCAATACCACCGCGACTGCCGGATTTGTCATGGGTGCTTCGAAATGTCAATGACAGCCACAATCCGGATCTAGCACCTTTACAAATAACCTTTGTTTGCCTGAGTTACAGGGGATACTGGACGTCCCGGGGCCGACCCTCGGAGGATGGTCTGAAGCTTGATGCCGAAGCGGGTGCGCGTTGGATCTCCCAGCATCATGAACATCTGTATGGATTAGAGAGCGAGGCTCCTGTACCCATTCTGCTGCTTTGGGGACAAAGTATCGGTTGCAGTGTGGCTACCAACCTCGCTGCGACAGGCAGAATACCAGCAAATATTCCAGTCCGGGGCTTACTCCTCGAGACTCCGTTCCTGTCGGTCAGGACCATGTTGGAGACACTATACCCTCAAAAGTGGCTCCCGTACAAGCACCTTTGGCCGTTTTTGCGCAACCATTTGGATAGCTGGGCAAACCTGGGAACCATTGCCAGCACGGCAAAGCAAAGGGGAAGCCGACCACCAAACATTTTCATCCTTGAGGCCGAGAGAGACGAGCTCGTTCCCCCAGAACATGCCGAGCGGCTGCTCGATAGATGTCAGGACTTAGGCTTGCCGGTTGAACGGGTCAAGTCTCCGGCGGCGTTTCACAGCGATGCCATTATGAGGGTTGAAGGAAAGAGGCTGGCTGCCCTTGGCATTGTGCGACTGACGAAGCAAGCATTGGATGGCGGCTGAAACTGCAGGCATCAATCGCGTAGCGGCAGAAATCCACACTGGTCTGACCAACATGGGCCGCACAATTGCTCATCCATGGCCGCGGAAGGTACCATGGACAAACATGGGAGCGGCCGAGCCAAAGAGACAGAGTGAGTGAGCAGCATGATGAGAGACAGCAAATGAAGAGGTCGGCCATTATCACTGTGAGATGACACCAAGACGAGGAAATCTGAGACCGACATCGTCCTTGCATCACATCACAGAAGCGCAGGGTTCTGATGCTGGGGTGGTACAAAGACATTGCCTGCCGTAGGACATGGATGGTTGCAACAAAAAAAATGAGGCTCTCGTTTCGGAGCTATTGAGTGGGTGGGATCCGGAATCATGACGAGAGTCGACAGGAGAGGTGCGTACCCTACGGGCAACCTCAAAAGGAATATGAGCTCGAAGGAGCCGCTTCAATGGCCGAATCTGACGGCGAGATTGAGGTAGCTTTCCGTCCTGTTCGATTATATCGGTCCATTACCAGGCATCAGATCATGCCAAGTCCAATGAAGCCGGTCTTGTGAGCTTGTGAATGGTTGAAAGCCATCATATTGCCCCAGGCCACACCGAAAGAGCTGGGGAAACACCACAACCTTGGAAGCTACGGGTCAGATTGTCTCAGGCGTAAAACTCCACGCCAATTAACGATCCATTCCAATGTTCTTTCCCTCTGATCGCCGTTTGTATGTGACTGCCACCATCCCACCTCCCGCTCACTACCCTGGTTCTCTCTTCGCCCTTGCATATCATCCATGATCCATCGATCCCATTCCGGACCAGTTTCAACCATAGAAAAGGAAAGAGGAGGGAGGCCGACGATATCGACCCCCATGTCAGTGACCTCGAAATGGACTAGCGCGCCATCAGGTGACCTCGTGCGCATATCCCGTTTCCCGCCGAGACCCCCTCGGAACACTTAACGCGTCAAATCACGTTGGATGGTGTGAACGATACTCCGGCAGCCAAGCCTACCACACCATCTGCTCATCAAGGTTCAACGTACCACTCAAGACTGGTTGGAGCCTAGTTCACAAACGGAAACGACCAAGCGTCCGAAAATGCGCAGCGCGTTCATATAAGGATGTATTGCCCACCGATTATCAACGAGGCTTTTCATCCTTTCTCTGTGCAGGTTTCAGATTCTCACTCGGCACTTTCGGTGGGTAGATGAGTACCATTTGCCAGTTCTCACCATCCGACCGATACGATCAAGTCCTTGTTGATCATTTGCCCCTCAATCATCACGTTCCCGCCCGTGTCCTCGCCGACACATGCTGCCCTACTATCTTCGGACCGATGCAAACGGTTGCCTGATAGTCACCTTCGCTTCGAAACAGCACCATTGGAACAAGGAGATTAAGCGATCGATAGCTATCGTCTCACGATGTCCTCTCGACGCCTCGATGTTCCCCAAAGCAGGAGTGGTTCTAAGCCTCCAAGACTAGTCAGATCGAACTCGTCCTTGTCCTTCGCCAAAGAAGCGGGCATCTCCAAGCGTCGCCATGATTCCCGTCAGCGTCGTCCTAATGCGACGACCGTTCCCGGAACCGTGGCTCGTGCAGAGTAGGAGATTTTGACTTTGAAGTCATGTACAACTCGCTTGAACCTTGCTCTGATACGCTTCTTTTAGTAGTAATCCCAACCCCATCTCACCGATCGTCACCCTCGTAGTTGGCCAAGAATGTCGCATCTTCGCCGCCCACGAAAACGTGCTATCCGCTTCTCCTTTCTTCAAGAACGTCCTCGACACTCAATTTTCCGGTGGCGAAACCAAGCGGATATTGCTTCCCAACGAGGAACCCGAGATCTTTGCCTCGGTGCTCGAGTACCTCTACAAAGGCGACTACCATCCCCGCCTCGTTCACGATATGAATCAGAACACGTGGGAATTGGAGGAGTTACCAGTAGCAGCAACAGCACGGAGGAACGGCGGCCGTGGTGGCGGTGGTGGACGGGAGGCTCCTACCATCTATCATCACTCGGTGGATGGCGAGGTGTTGAAGGATACGGTGATCTACTGCGCTGGAGAGAAGTATGGGCTGGAAGAGCTGAAGAGGATTGCATTGAGGAAGCAAGGTCTTCGTAAGTCCATTGCATTTATCATTGCTTGCTAGTGTCATTTTGTCATCATGTTTACAGTCGAACTGACCCATATCACTGCAGAGTGCGGAATAATGGCCAGCACAATCCTGACCTCTGCCAGATACGCCTACGCCAACACCCCTGACACTGACTCCAAGCTCCGAGCTCATTACCTCGCGCTCATCATCCGCGGCCGCAACACGTTCAAGCGCAGCGGCACCATGCAACTGGAGATGTTCCACGGCGGGAGTGATCTCTTCTTTGACTTGTTTGTAGCGTTGTGTAATCACGTTGATGATCTTTCGGTTGCTTCTTCGTAAGTCTTCTTCCGCTACTACTCACAAAGCCCCTGCGCCAAGGGGGTCTCTAGAGGATCATATTTGTGACTAACTCGTATTAGTAGCACTCAACATGATACCCAACAGGACACTCAACATGACACTCAACACGATACCCAACAGGACATTCAACATGACACACAACACGACACTCAACAAAGCTCCGGCAGCGAAAAGGACTCGAAATCGTGATCTTTTTACTGTTCTCCTTCTTCATTTATTTGTTGTTTGTGACACATTATTTTAGCTTTTCCCATTTCACAACTGGCGGTTGTTATTTTCAAAGATCATTCTGTTCATCTCTGTTTTTTGGTCGGACACGATGTTACTCCTTCTTTTATACCATACGGCGTTTGGGGAAAGGTCTGTTTTCGGTTATCACCAAAATGTCAGGTTGCAATTTTCGAGTTTCGAGCAAGGAAGAGAAGTAAGGCGGTTAGTATCGGACCGGATTCTGACAACGAAGTATGAGTTGGTGTTCTACAAGTATGTACAGTACCTGGGCAGAACTATATGGAAAACGAAGAATGAGACGAGAACAGAACGTGAGGTTTTCCAAGACTTTCGGTTCTTTACGCTCGTTTACGGTTACTCTTTTCTGTATCTATCGTCTTGACTGGCCGCAAACATGAAATGGGCACGGTATGAGGTGGATGGCAATATGTGCCGGTGTCAAGTTAGGATCTAGAGTAAACACTCAAAAACCGAACAGAACATGATACTCCTTCGATACCCTCACCAAACTAATGTCATATATCTGCAAATATGTAACAAGCTGCCAGCTATCCTGAATTCTCTGAGAGAACATCATCTTCCCGTGCGGAAGGAAGTATCATATCACACAGACAGAAAGACGACTATCAGCAGAATCTGGCCAGAGAATTTACGGAAAAACGAAGCGGAAAAAAGAGAAAAGAAGGGTTGCGCGGTCCGGAATTCGAAGTTGGGTCTTCATTCAATATTTCCTTATCATGAGACTTGAACAAAGTTTAAGT